ACAAACAAACAGTTAAACTTTGTTTCTAGCACCTACCATTCATAGTGCAATTCCACCAAAAATGATGGGAAGCACAATGTTACAATTTATCTCATGGGTGGGGTTAATTCAATATAATTCTATGTTGTAAGAAACAAACAAATTTTTCAACTGTACTGCATGATATATCATCTATCTATAAGACAGACAGACAGCTCAACTGATTGACACACATCAAATTATGTATGAAAACTGACATATTTTTGTCCAATGTAGGACAGCAAACATCACACATCAGTAAAGTATGGAACATTATGTCTGAATAACTACAGCTTTACCAAATGTTAATGTTAATTTCATTAATACAGTTATTTAAAACCAAAATACTAATATCTGAACATCTGAAAGATACTAATAAAGTAGAAGAAAATCCCTGTTTTCAGATGTTTTCTCTTTTCATTTTAAAATCTGTGTAAACATGTGGAACAAAAAGACAACATTGCTTTATTTGTCTTTGTTTACTAAAGGTGGCTGAGTGTAACATAGTGTAACAGCTAACCCTGTAGTACAGAGGCTGTACTTAAGCCCAGCTGCACTTGCTGTGAGCTTGTTATCTGCTTCAAAATGATGCTACATTGTAGGCAACAAGATGGTGATTAAAGTATTAAGGTTGAATGTTGTAATTTACACAAACAGCTCAGTAACTGAACAAACAAACTTACATGCCCTGAAAACACTCTTTGGCACAGATTTCTTTAAAATGCTGGCAAATCACTCAGAATTTTGGTGGGAGACTGTGGCTTGGAAATGTGGTAATGTGGCCAGATGTGCTTGACCTTCTTTAACAACCTAAAATGTCTGTGTTAATTTGTTCCCTGTGTTACGTTGTTCCCCACGCTCCCCTATCTTTCAGCATTATTGGTGTTTTCACAGATGTGCATGTTACCCACTACGTACTGTGACACACCCTGGTTTTGGAACTTTGTGCTGGTAACAGTCTGGTTGGCCATTTTCTTCTTCGGCCTGGAGAACACTATGTCCATTATTGCCATAAACAATCTGAAAACCTGACTCATCAGACCACAAAACATGTTTCCCCTGTGCATCAATCCATTTCAGATGAGCTTGAGCCTGGAGAACTTGCATTTGTGGGTGCAGCAACAAACAAACAGTGTTTAATGACAACAGAGTATCAAACTACCCCTAGGCCCATGTAGTGATATTCATCACAGAAGCATGCTAGTTTTTTAACAGGATGCTGTCTGAGGGGTCAGAGGTCATGGGCATTCAGTTGTGATTTTTGGCTTTTTTTAGCAAACTAGCGAGTCTCGACCAATCCTTGCTCATAAAAGACTCCACCTTTCCTGGATTTTCCATTTATAACCAAGCACGATTACATCACCTGTTTTCAAAAGTTTTCTGAACATTTTACAACATTCTTAGTCTTAAATTGCCCCATTCTATATATATATATATATATATATGTGCACAAAATTGTTTGTGATAAATTTAATAATGTAAAAGAGAAGATAACCCTTTCATTTTCACATTCTTCCACCTGTCACTCAGCCCATCAGGGCAAGGCTACAGTACACTAAACAGGAACAAGGCTCTAAATGTATAAACAGAGCACTTCAACAGAACTGCTGGTAAGTGTTAACCACAACAGGGCTGTAAAAATGAACTGAGATCATGAAATAAGCTCTATTCTGAAAAAATGACAGTACCGACTGTGAGTCACAGACTATTGTCTGTAAAGCAGCATGCAGACATAAAGAAATACATTAGGAACTCCTACGATGTACTTCTAATGACCACTTTGAGATCCACCTACCTTTTAGGTACAGATATAGGTAGGTCAGCAACCCTGACTGGTCCTGGAGATCTACCTTCTTGCAGAGTGTTGTTCCAACCACAACCTGCAACACCTGCTTTACTTCACTTCTGCAGAAGTTCTCAAGTAGTTAGATACAACTAGACTCTGCAGGAAAGTAGATCTCTAGGTGGACCACTGCTCTGCCTCATTCATCATTGGTCAGTTTCTGACCACAGAACTGCTATTGATATATATATATATATATATATATATATCATATATATATATATATATATATATATATGATATCATATATATTTTAGATATCATTTAGGTGGTGGACCATTCTCAACACAGCAGGGACACTGACAAAAAGTAAAAAGGGCAGAAAAAAATAGGCATGCAGAAATAGGTCTCAGAAATCATTAGGCCTTCTCTAACTGTGCACCAGAAAGTTGTAAGGTTTGTATACAGTGCTGAGTGAGTGTATTTGATTGTGTTGGACTCTCCAAAGGACTCCTAGGTTCCTGCTAAATGCACTAACTTACCCACACAGACAAGAAACACAAGCTTAAAAAAGCACATAAAGGATTCTGTGACCATTATGAACTGTTTTCAGATACTATGGAAACCAGTGGTTCTATTGTTTGTCTGAGCTTTAGTCTGTTCACTGTTGTGTGTAAAGCTGCACATCTTTAAATGTACATATTCTTTATAGTTGTTGAGTTGAACATATTGGATAACATATATGACGTACCATAACATTTGCACAGGCCACATTTTATGTTTTATTTTTTCCAAATATGTTACATTCGGCAATTAAACAGCAATTGTGCATAACTCTGTAAAGGATGTGCTAACTTATTTTCACTTCAACAAAAACGCTTAATGCTGAAAATCAACAAAACACGTAATTTGACCAGGTGACCAAGAATGCAGACTCTTGTATGGATCGTCCAGTTTTTCACACTGTAACTGGCCTAAAGCAAAGTCCATCTGTCCCTCACGCTGTTATCACATGACCAGAGGAAATGGATAAATGGGAAGTAGGACTAAGTTAGGCGTTAGATTCAGTTCATTCTGTTTTCAGAGAGAACTCAGCACATGGAAATTCATGAAGCAAAACTCAGCTGACATGACTCAGCAAGATCTTGAAGCATAGGATACTGTTAAATATGTGCTTGCATTTAACACAGAGAAGGATATATAGTGTTTGAAAGAAACTTCTCAATCTGAAACGCTTAGTTTTACACTAGACTCTTACATATAAAGGTGCTAGAGGTGTGTCAGTACTTGTGTACCATGTGCACTGTACATTATATGTGCTGGTTACTTAATTATCTGGTAACACAAGTTGCTGTTTGTCATATTTCTGGAGCACAAGCCTGAAAAACTGAGGGAGGAACCTGTTCATGCTTTTGTTGATAGAGGGTGTGATATACTTTGGCTTAACTAAGCTTATTACCCAGTAATTACCTGTAAAACAATGCAAACTGACTGAATTATTCTTAAGTTATATGAGTGAGGAATGGAAGCCTGGACCTGTCGGTGGGCATGTTAACTTCTACAAGGCTCTGTTTCCACTCCTAGAATTGCGTCAGGCCTAGATGCAAAAAGATACTGAACTGAGAATCAGGCAGCGCAACTAAACCCAAGACTAAAACAGCTTAATTGGCATCTGGAAACCCAACTATTACATTTCAAATTTGAAACTACACTGACATGTTTTGCACTTATAACAATCTGAATGGGTCAAGGTGGATGGGAAAATGGGTGGGGTGATTTGTGTAATGGATCTATATTTGTAATAGTATAATTTCAGTATAGAAAAGCGTTCGTTTCACTAAAAGCTTGCAGCGTGGCATATCTCAACACCTATTGCACACCACGTCCACGCCTCCAGCAAACAAATGAAAGTGACATTTGCACACCCAACACAATGGAACCCCACCAAAGAAAACTTCTTAATGGTAACTGAAATACCATGAATGAAGAATCTTTCATAGGATTGTCGACACTGGTGGAGCTGTACCTTTATAATGATGAGAGACTGACGTTCAAATAAAGAATTGACTCCAAATGTAAGAAAGACGCTTTCTTTTATGCACTGTGTAAGCCAAAAAGCTACCAAATTCTTAACCACGACAAGAAAGAATGCTTACAAAAGGTTAACAGTGGTTTTTGGTCATTTGGCAGCCTTTCAGTGTCAGCCAAAACTGTAATACCATCAGCTGGATTTCCTCTGAGCAACAGGCCTGTTTGTCCTAATGCCTAATCCTGGTCTCCATAGCATTCCCCAGTGCTGATGAGGCAGATAAAATCCTGCTGCGAAGCAAAGGACACACAATGTTCCCTGGTTGCCTTGTCTCATTTCTTCACAGCTGCTCATTCATCACTCATGCTGAGTTAAATTGTACCTGAGACTATTTTTCTTTAGGCTGTACCCCAAGGTGTATGACCTTAATGATATTTACACATGACCTGCTTTAAAAGCAGTGACAGTAACCACTCTGACCTGTCAAAAAGTTCAGGTTAATAAAAAAGGTTCAGGTTAATAAAAATTAAAAGGAAGGTTTAAGTCTAATTTATTTAACTGCATCTGTAGCTAAACAGCCCATCGTTTTTTGTTTTTTTTTGTTTTGTTTTTTTTTACGAAACCCAGCTAACTGTAGCTATACAGGTATTTAATGTATTTTGTGGCATTAAAATGAAGGGAAAGATGTGTTTGAAAGTTCATATACTCTATTTTTAAGGTTCTTATCTGGTCCGATCCATTTTCTACACTTTCCGAAAACGATGACAGTCCGAGAAAGTAATAATTCCCTGTACAACTACAATTCCCATATTCACTACAATGATGAGCCCGCCCAGCGGACGGCCAATCGTATTGGCTCGATTTTCTGATTGATTGCCTTCTAGCCAATCAGAGCTTGTTTAGATGAACAGTAGGTGGGTTCGTAATGTCAGCGCTGAGAAAGTGCCACGACTCCACAGACAAGCGGCTTCTTGAGAGGCTGGGAGACGGAGCTTTGGGAAGAGACATATATTTATCTATATTTTTGTACCTTTCTCTTCCGAGTTGGACTAATATTTTTGGATTTAAACTCAGCGTGTGAGTGAGTTAGCTTGCTAACTCTGTTCTGCTGAAAGCGAAGGTGAAGACGAAGGCTTGAGTGTGATGCTAGCTAACGTTAACGATTCTCATACATACCCGCTTCTGAGCAGCTGCTGGCCTCTAACTTCGCTCTTTTTCTCTCTCCCATAGTTTTAGTCTTTGCTGTGAGTTGGTTAGAGTTTATACTGTGTTGGCTGCTTAAGTAAACCTCGAGAAACGGATCTGTTTGGCAGCAGAGCGCTTTTAAATGTCCTGATTTGGAGATGCTGAAAATAAGGGGAACAGAACAGTTATGTGGAGCGACTGTCTGCCCGCTTCCCTGGAGCCGCTCTGAACAAGTAGGCTGTAACCTAAATGTGTGGCTAGCTAACACATTCTCTCTGTTAAAGGAATATTTTTGATTATTTAGGATCTAACATTGGACTATGGTGTGAATAGACTCCTGTTGTGTCGTTTGAGAAACTCTGAGACTTTGTTTTAGTGTCTGTCTGTAGTTCAGATCAGGCTGACATTCCTCTTCTTGTAGCGAAGGCATTTAAAGGGGAGGTCCACCGATTTTTCAAAATTTGTGTATAATTCAGTGGTTTAAAATGTAAATCAGAGTCATTCATAATGTGCAATGCTCCGTTCTAGAGGAACTTGCCATATGAGAATTGCTCACAGTGGTGGTGATAGGAACCAGACGTCCGCCTCTAAAAGCTCCCTCACAGAAAGTTATTTGCATGAATTGGTTAGATATATGCTGCCTGATCTCTGAGACATTGTTTTCAGATAGTTATGTGATAATGTTTTGGCTTAAAATGTATTTTAATCAGTTTATGTTCATCAGTTCAAATAGTCCCCAAAGAATTATGACTATTTTACCATCATCACTATTACATATAAAAACTCAGAAGACATGTAGGTTCACTGGTGGTTTTCGATGGTAAATAAAATGGCTACATTTGTGTTGTAGACATCAGGACTCCTGGTTCCTATCACCACCACTGTGAAGAAATCTGAGTCTGTAAGTTTCTCTACAGTGTACCACCTTACATGAGACCACTCTGAAAGACTCTGCTGACATCTCGAAGACAGAATTATTCAGGAATTTGAATGCAGTTTTTCAAAGCTGTGGTGGCTTAGTTTACTACAGCTGTGCCATAAAACTCTTGTTCAGCATACTCCACTGGATTCGGCACTCAACCCTGAATCACAGGCAGCTGCCCAAAAAGTCTCTGTTGCTGTCAGACTGTGAAACTTTTTCCTCCTGCATGGTTCATACTCTCTGCTGGTGTAGGCTTTCAGTGTTTCTCTCCTCTGCAGTGCCTTCAGCCAAGCAACTGAGATTCCTCATGCTTTTATCTATAGACATACATACATAAATTTTGGCATCACACAGATATTTAGATTTTTTTACAATATGTCAAACATACATTATCTGCAGATGTTTGGAAGAACTTGCCATATTAACAGTCATTTTATATACAACAGTAACTTAGAGAGTGGGGGTTTAAATATTACAAACTATTTACTGAAAGGCATTTTGGATATTTTATTCAAGAATTCTGTAAACAATAAAATGATAAATAATATTCTGTAGCTATTTAATTACGCTACGGCTCTGATCATCATTCTGGACACTGAACTATATATACATATACACAATAAGTAGATGTATACATATTTTAATGCACAGTTTGCTGAATTTTTTCATATTGAGAATAAAATACAATGCAAAACATGGCCTGTGCAAAAGTTCTGGCACATTTTATATTTGATGTTTTTTTAATATGTTAAAGAAATTCTGTACTAAGATTAGCAGAAAAATGCCATGTTTAAGTTTATTGTCTGCAGAGAATATTTTCTTCCTTTCAATAACCACACATGTAATTTGACCAAATATGTTCAAACTTTTGCATATTCATAAAATATTAGAATGCATCCACACACACACACACACACACACATACACACAGATATATATATATATATACACACCTGCTTCTGTCCACTGAAATTGCTCGGTTTGCACTGATGACTTTAGATATATTTCTCAAAATGTATGTTACTGTCTGGCTGTCTCTGACAAAATATCATATTGTCATTATACTGTGATTGTGTTGTGCCTTGCAATATGTTAAGAACACAATTGTGAACCTTTTGTGACTGGCCTGCGTGGAAGACTCGCCCTCATTATTTTGACAAAATTGTTCATGTTTGTTGTTTCACATGAACTACTCGATTCTTCAAACGCCTGCAGAACACAACACTCATCAAGTCCTCTGTGATGTCAGTATTGCACAGACCGATATTGAGATAGTAGTGAACAAACAATGTATTGTGCAGTTCTCCTGCTTAGTCTGCAAAGACTAGTTGGAATCTGTGTTTCCCAGTGTTAGACCTTTGGCTAACTTAGTTTTGACCTTTTGCTGGTTGTGGATTTCTTATTAGCGAGCCGGGTCGGTCTGAGTTGTCTTTATCATAGCACATTGTATGTTTACTGATCCAAGAGGTACATTACTGTAGTTAATTTACTTTTTTTATGAATGCTCAGTGTGTATAAAAGAGTGTAGAAACAATCCACACGTTGTGAGCATGTTTCTTTTTAGTCCTTTACCAAAGAAAAAATGTTCTGCGTAATATGAAAACAACTGGCAAAGGCACTGTACATGTTCCAGTTAAGTACTGAGTGTTTTCTTTTTCTCTGTTTGCAGCTTTGGAGCACACTGGGGGTCCCAGTCTTATTATGAAGCTCCAGTTATATGGTATAAAATCAGATCTGAACAAATTATAGGCTACAAGCTAGAACAAGCTGCTCCTGGAGTTTCAGTGTTTATAAATTAGGCTGGTTTGAGTCATGTTTTAAAATCAGACAGCAATGTTCGGCTCTTTGTCTGCTGCTTTTGTTTTGATCACACTTTGTTTAATGGATAAGTGGAGGTAAAGCATTAAAGATAGGCTTGAAGGAGAAACGCAATGAAATCACAAGGCAAAGCCTTTTAGTGTTGTGTGTTTGGACTATGAACAGAAAACAAAGATTCTTATGATAGCAGGGCATAACTTTATGCACGGCCTATCCTGTTTACCATTACACCAGTCAACACGTTTCGGGGATTCAGCTGATGTTCAGAATGTACACGAATCAAGAGTTCTTATTTAAATTCATTTTCTCTGGTGATCATCGTTATATTGACGACTCTGCAAACTTAGGTGCACTCTCTGCTTTCCAGAGTTAGACCTTTGGCGAACTTGGAGTTTTGACCTTTTGTTGTGCATTTTCATTAGTGAGTGACAGTGATTGCATAAGGATTATGTAGTTGGCTCAAACATTCAGTCACAGAGAATTGGGTACAACAAAAGAATAACCTTAAAGGGACAGTCTGGCATTTTTCATTCTTTCTTCTTTCTGCTGTGTCTGTATGCATTTAGACACATTTCCTTTTATTTAGTTAAAGAACAGCAAAACTGTTAAAGCTAGAGATGCACCCATATGGAAACTGTAGGCTGATACCAATTTCCAATATTTTTCACATACATATTTGCTGATGCTGGTACATAAACATTTAGAAAAGGAGATCTACCTGGATTAGCATTACAGAGAAGTGTAACATTTATTTCTGTAGGGTTACAAATACGGCAACATGAATAAAATGCAGAAATTTTAGCACAACAGCCCAGCATCACGTAAACATGCTGCTCTTCTGGAGTACAATAAATAGGTCATCAGTGTCGATTTGACATAATCTTGTGTCAACAAAATTTCTCTTCTTCATAAAATAAATTATTGACATTATTGTCTATGCAAGTGACCACATGGGACAGATCAACTTAGGATTGATACTTAAGTGCCATTTGTCCTTATTTACCTTTATTTGTCTTGGCAGGTTTGAAAAGGAAGGACGCTTGCGATCATGGATATCTATGACCCCCAAACCCTTGGCATTGTTGTTTTTGGTGGCTTTATGGTGATCTCAGCTATCGGGATCGCCCTGGTCTCCACTTTCTCCATGAAGGAGACCTCTTATGAAGAGGCCTTGGCAAAGCAGCGCCAAGAGTTGGCTAAGACCCAACCCCAGCAGCGGACGGACAAGAAGAAGAAGGACAAGGCAGCTGAAAAGAAGAACCGTGAGAAGAAGAAGAAGGAGGAGAAGCCCAAGGAGTCAGAAACAACTCCTGATGCCAGTATAGAAACAACAGAAGACCAGGATGTTTCTCCAGAGCCTGAAGCCCAAGAGCCAGAGCCTATGCTTGCTACCAAATCTGCTCCGGCTCAAGTTGGTAAACCTGCCCCAGCTGTTTCCATTAAATCTGTGGAGCCCTCTGCTTCTAACGCCACTCCAAGCTCTGCTTCTAAATCCACCCCAACTCCTGCCTCTAAAACTTCCCCAACTCCTGCCTCTAAAGCCTCCCCAACTCCTACCTCTAAAACCTCCTCAACTTCTGCCTCTAAAACCTCCCCAATCCCTGCCTCTAAAACCTCCTCAACCACTGCCTCTAAAACCTCCCCAATCCCTGCCTCTAAAACCTCCCCAACCGCTGCCGCTAAAACCTCCCCAACCCCTGCTACTAAACCGTCCCCTGTTCTTGCACCGACTGCTCCTGCGCAATCCCCAGTTTCTGCCCCCACCTGTCCTGCCCCTACAGAGGCTTCATCTGCCACTTCCCCCAAGGACAAGAAGAAAAAGGAGAAGAAAGTTGCCAAGGTGGAGCCAGCCCCGACCCAGGCACCACCTGTTGTCATGCTGGAAACCGTGGTTAAAGAGGTTCCTGTGATGGCGGTGCCTCCAGGGGAATCCCAGAAGAGTGTTCCTGTGGCCGAGGCTCTGGCTAAAGCAGAGAAGCCAAAGCCATCAGCTCCATCCAAGAAGAAAGCAGGATCAAAGAAGAGCACAGAATCTGGTATGAGCACTTTTTGTCCACTTATTTCTCAGTTTGAAATATTAGTTGACCCCAGGTTCTCAAAGTGCAGCAGGGCTGTATGTAAACTTTTTGAGCAGGTAGCGCTGGTGCTAGAAATGTTGCAAGTAGGTATGTGAGATCATGGCAGGCAAAGGAGAGCTGCTTTAAAAGCTTTCCTGTGTCATTTTCTTGCATCACCAGCACACCGTGTGGGCACGTTTTCTCAAAAAAGTGTCACGAATATTGACTAAGAGGCTATTACTTTCTCTAGTTAATGATTTTAGCATGGCATGGTGGGTTACCACACAGTAGCCTGCCTAAATCAGAGAAAATAAACTTGATTGAGATTCTGTTTAGTAACTTCTAAGTTAACTTGAATTGCTATGTTTTGGTGGTTCTTGGTATGGGTTGGTAGATTTTGCTACAAGTTTAACAGTGTTTACAGCTTTTAAATTGCTAAAATAAATAAAATAATAAAATTAAATAAAATAATTAAGTGCCTAAAGCTTACTGTAAGGTCAGCCTATGGGGTACTGTTATTGTAGCTTTTTATTATTGTTATTATCAGATTATTCATAATAATTACAGGCTTTGTCTTTTTTGTTTTTATTCATTTTGATGTAATGTAGATAATGTAAGGTGAAAATCATTTAAGCCCTCATTCATGTTTCATGAGGGAAGAAATTCTGCTTGGACGGCTGCAGCACGGTTATATCTGACCACAGTAAAAAAAAAGTGCTGCCTCAAACTTCTACAGAATGTTCTCAAGCCAGACAACTTACTTAGACTGATGTGGACGTGGACTGCACATTAAAAAAAGACATGGATAAAAATCAAAGATTATGAGACAAATATGATTACATTAATGCATCTTAAAGCCATGGATTGTATGTTTTCTGACATATAAATCGTCCAACTTAATCGGCAATCCGTTGGCGATTTAGAAAAGTTTGGATAAATAGTTTGGAGAAAAAGAAATAGTTTGTTACCAAAAGGTAAGGCTCAGTGTTATTTAATATGTGAGTTTTAATAGGTAATCAGTTTTAATGTGTAACAAGGTGTAACAACAATGAGTTGCGTTATTTTTTTGCCATCCATACAGACGTACTAGCGGCAGATCTGACATGTCGGCTTCGTAACTCTGTTAACTGTCAGGGGCTGGAAAATGGCAACAAAGCTGCTGACAGGGAAATGAGCCAACAGAATGTTGTAATGCATGTTGAATTGCTCATATAAGTCATTATGGTCTCAATTAAATATGAGTGATTGTTTAGTATTGTTTGAAAGCTTTCTGTCACTGGCTTGTTACTGCTGGAGTTCACAAGAGGACTGTCCTAGCTAATTTTCTACCATCGAGTGAATCTAAAATGGCCCCGGGAAAGCTAGGACTGGCACTGGCTGCATTGGTGAATGACAGGCTGCTGGAGGCTTCTTTGGTTTACCAGTCGCAATAGAGAAGCTGCACTGAGTGAATGCCTTTCCTGTTCACCTGCTGCAGGCTGTGGGAGCAAGGGATTATATGGCATTGATAGGTGTGCCAATAAGAGGTGCCAGTGTTAAGTAGCTGAGAATTAGCTTCCTAAGCAGTTTTGAATTAGCTGTGTGAGCAGATAGAGAAGGCTATTCTGGAAAGAATTAGATTTGTAACACATGGGTTTCATCTATATGGCAGGAGAAACCAAAACAAATTCTTTAAGCCTATTGACCAGGCGAGTGCGTTCTGAGTAATTTTGGTATTTGAGTATCTGTAAGAGTTCCTGAATGGATATCCAGTTAACTGTGGAGAAGGAAAAACAACAGCCTACCTTTGCACAGTGTTGCACAAAAAAAGGTTCAGGCAGATGAACACAAAACATGTTTTCATATTCAAAATAGCAAATGGAAATCATTAGCTTTTTGTTTCATGCAGAACATAACAGAGATTCAGCTAATCAGCACAGTACTGGATGCTGAAGGGGTCTTGTTATCTTTTATAGATGTTTTTCCTCTTCAGTCAACTATGTACCGACATGTTAGTTTGTCAAAGAAGTATATTATAACGGTTTCTGGACTTCACATCAGCTTAGCCTAACATCAGCCTTGCCTGCTTAGCAATAAAAGCCAAATTATCTAAGCTTTCTCAGTCATGTCTTTAACAACTCATGTTAAGGCACTCTTGTTTCAGAGTTGCAAAGCACAAAATAACAAGCAAAACGTTCACATTTTACAGTTCTGTTAAAACAGAAAACTGACATTTTGCTGAATTGTTAGTTGGTAGATTTTCTCCATCTGTTTGAATACTCCCACCATGAATGGTTAAATGAGTACTTCAGTACCTATTGCACATTTCTTACTGTTGACCTGAATATATTTTTCTTAATTTATGATTTCATAGGTCTATTTCTGAGACCTGTCTAGACTGTTTCTTCAGGAAAACAGCCCTAAGCTCTTTTCCTGTGACTGCTGGCATGTGCTGATGTTAGCTGTCTCTGACTACTTCAAAGAGCGGTTCAGACACTTCACATCCTAAGCAGAGCCTGCGTAAGTGCTACAGTTTGTTTTAAGGAGAAACATTCTGAATGTAATTGGTGTAATTTTAAGAGAACTGTTCAAAACAGCCCAGTGAAACCAAGCTTCGGTTTTGGCCAAAGCTCTTTTAGCATAGAGTCAGTTTGAGTTCATTAACCTTTTCTCATAAAAATGCAATTTTAATCTGCATTGGAGGTCCCTTTGTTGAAGCGTTAGGGAATTTTGTTTTTCAGGAATGTGATGGAATATATTTCAATGGAAGTGTGTATGACATACAAAACTGGAAGCAAACTGGATTTTTGTAGGTAAACAAACAAGTTAACATTTATATCAAATGGCTTTATTGTGTTTAAATGCTGTTTTTATTGTGGCTGTTGTGCATGATTATTTTTTGTTATGAAGAAAGCTGCAGTTGTCCGTTTTATCTTGACACGGGTGTCTTTGTTGAGAAGTGTGAATTGTTTTTAAAGCAGGAGGGTCTCACCTCTCCCGTTTCACCCCTCATTGCTCTCTAGCAGCTCAACAGAGTCCCAGCATTTTACACACAGAGAGCCAACAGGTCCCTAGTTAATTTGGTAACAGAGTTATAGTGAAAATATTTCATTTTGTTATATTAATCAAAAATGTGGAAGTTGATTTCCATTCTGCTTGTGAAATAGCCAATATGGGGCCTGCAGAAAGGGGTTATTTTATAAATAAAAAAAGCATCATATACCTGAAAAAATATCAGCATTTTTGAAAACTACATACATCCTGTGGTGGATAAAATTTCATTTAGCTCCACTTAGCTGAGAAGAAAATGTGACATTTAAGTTGAATCACTGAAATCACAAGCTTCCAAATTTGAGGTGTAAATATCTTACTGAGTAGATTTCTAGGTTTCTAGTAGATTTCCAGCAAAATGCAAGCTGAGTTATACTGGCTGTCAGGAAACAAGGATCAAAATTGTATGTAATACAGTGCAATAATATCATAGAAAATGCATTTGAGTGATGCTTAATCTAATTTGGCCAACAAAAGACAACGCAGGCATTTAGAACAGAAAAGAAAAAACGAAAAAGGTGCAAGTGTAGAAAAAAAAACAGTGTAAAACTGCAATACACACTTCATACCCAATACTTTAATCTTGCTGAAAGTCAAGTGTGTCCTACAGCCATACTTGAAGGAGAAAGACTTGGGAGTTTTGATTGTTTACCAAGCACTTACCACACCACCCTGAAGTGATTAATAACCTCAATCCTACCCAAGCACTATGGATTGCACTTTAATTACAGGGTTTATGTTGGATGTGTCCAGAAGAGTAAAATTGACCTGTCATGCATGTGTTGAGTCATTAATTTAAGGAGCCCTATCGATTTTATTATTTAGTGTACTGTTCTCTGTCAATGTACTCCAAGAGTGTTATTGATTTTAACAGGCAGCTAAACTCTTCTCATCACCAAGTCCTTCAAGGAACAGGCAGCGTGTTGTAATTGGCAGGTTTAATGATGAAAAGTGTGAAACTACAAGAACAATATAGAATTTGAATAGATAATGAAAACTGTAATATACTGTTTACATTCACATAAAGTTAGTCTAAACTAACAAACAAGCAAGGGAATAAACTAGAAAGGTATACAGAGATCAACACTAAATAGAATTTAACTAGAAGACATTTCTTGCTGACAGGACTAGAAGTTACAGAGTGATAATATGAAAAGCTTCTTTAAAATATTTGCTTATATATATATATATATATAACTTACTGATTTAACTCCACATTTAAGGAGCAAAAACAGGACAGCAGATGTGAAAGACAAGAGTATCAGTAACTGCCACTGACTTAAAAATAAACTCAGTCAACTGTATGATTAAATCTAAACAGTGAAAGGATGCTTGGAACTTAGAATCCAGTAGACAGACCTGTGGTATCTTAAGAGTTCCATAACATTTAGTCTGATATTGGAATTGTAGCCTATAATTACGACCAATAAGTGGGGTGCCCCTCTTTCATCGCATGAAGGCTTTGCTAAGTAACTCACTTCTGAAGTAAGGGTATTAATGGTATGTATGTAGTAATGTAAAGGTTCAGCATCTAAAAGGGTTTTATTTTCCCAAGAACCATACATCTAAGTGAAAAACTATTTGGCAACTTTTTGGAGATTCATAATGTTTTAGGCTGACTTCACACGGTGCATCTTAAGTTACTTGAAGCTTGTAACACACCCTGCAACTCACTTGAAACTTCAGTGCAACAGATGCACGCATCTCAATTTCGTGAAAAAAGTTTCATGAAACAGCCAGTTAAGACACATAATAACACATCATGTGATCAAGTTGAGCGACATACTGTAAAATTACTTAACAGATCAATGGACGTATATTGCAAAAACAACACCACACAGATGACTTCATACAGCAAGAACGATGCAATGTATCAAAAATATGAGCTGCTAACTTGGCTAACCAGAGAGGACTCAAATGTGTTGCATGCAACTTTAGCACATCCCTGTTAGTCACACTCTCTCTCTGTGTCACACATACACACACTGGCAGCCTATCAAATTTTTTCTACCCACTTGTGATGTGGTATTTGCCCCAAAGCCTCTTTATAGAAGCTGGAATGTGGGAGGAAAGACATTCTGGCACGAGTGTAAAGGTGTGCGGGGCTTCACTCATTTCTACAGGGACAGAGGGTGACAGGTCCTGTGCAAACAATCCACTCGCCTTTGCTACTCCTTTATGAGTGCACACAAAGACTCTCAGAGGCCAGACAATGGGAGTGTATCATCAGCCCTGATTGGAGAGCCATCTCTGCCTGGTGTCCCACCACCCTTCTCCCATGCCAGCTAGAGGTGCCAGCGCTGATGGAATCAGAACATCAGTAAAATATATTACTTAGATGAATATTAATGAGATAAATATAACTGACTATGGGTTGGACAGCAGAGAACCTGTCAGTGTGTCTGGGATAGATTCAGTCAGTTTGTTGGGCAAATGAGTAAAATCCCATCATAGGTTTTACCGTTGAGCAAAATCAATAACGTTTTGGGTTAAATAAGACTGTCTCCATAATTTAGGTCTAAAATGGTTAGAAACGTATAATCATAAATGTTTAATGAGCATGCATACAGCCAAAAAAACAAAATGAAAATTGTTATTAGGCCTAGACATTCAAAAACATGAAAGAACATTAGGCACCATCAGATACACATAAGGTACTACAGAAAGTAGGCTGCCATTTCTGTTGAACAGCACGATAGCCTAAATAGCCAGTGTTTGTTAAAATCCGACCAGTAACCATTATTAGTGTTGCCGATAGTAGTGTTCATAATAAGTTGTTTATTTAAACTGCACATGATTGTTTGGTGTTATAAAGAAATACAAAAGCTTTGGTAAAGTCTTATCAGTGTAATACTTCTCTTGAAATAATTTCAGTGTGACACATTTGATTGTATCACAATATTGAAAACCATGATCTTTTTGGTCACTGATATCTAATATTTATACTGTCTTATCCCTATTACTGATGACATATGAAGTAACATTAAATATGACTGATTGACTTTGTGAACTGGTGTTTGGGATGTGCTTGAAAAACTGTAGTACAATTTTTTGAAGCAACCTCCCCAAAGAGGATAAAATTTTAATTAGGTTACAAATTTATTAAGTAGCGTGAGAACGATATGTCTTACTGGTTCTTTTAGGTTTTAATAATCATTGCATCATTTTTTCTTGATAAAGTTGGTATATGCCAGATCCAAAATGCCAACATCATCTCAACAGCGTAACAAAAAACCTATACCCAGTGTGCCCTTTCAGACTCACAAAAAATAAATATCTTTTGAAATGAATAATGGACTCTGAATTAAGGTATTTAGCCATTCATAGGTATTTCAGTTAATGTGCTTAGCAAAGTAAAGCCAATGAATCTTCTGCATGTCTCCTCTCTATAGCAGTAGCAGTGGATGCTGTGGATGCTCCTCTACATCTGTCTTACAAGACCCTGCTGTCCACACTGAAGAGCATGATGTTCAGTGAAAGTGAAGCCCAGCAGCTCGTTGAGATCTTGTCTGAAAAGGCTGGAGTACAGGACACCTGGCACACGGTATGGCCAACACCAAATAGTTCAGTAAAAAATTAGAAATGTACACAATTTTCTCTGTACCTTAAATAAAGCTAGTTATCCAATAGATGTTTCACTGAGTTTCACGAATCACTGAGGACAAGGTTACCCAGAATCCTTTGAGGTTTTAGTTTATCTTAATTACCTCTTATTTTCTTATTTTTCATTAGTTCTCTTCATAGTAAATGTTTTTTTTGTGTTACGGCATGTCATCTGCATGCTACAGTGTAGGACTGGATGCATTTAACGTGTTTTTGCTTTGTTGGTCGTGTTTTATGTTCAGATTTACCAATATAGCTTGTCTTGCTGTGATAAAAGCAAACAAGAGGTAACTTTAAGTTTAGCATTCACAAACTGGGCTGTCAGGAGGCAAAATTAAAGGGTTTTGCTCTATTGTCAGGATATCACTTTTGAATTTTTATGGGTGTTTTTATGGATAAAAAGGTAAAATTACAGAATGTTGCGTATATGAAGTGAAGGAAAAATTCTGTATATACACTAAATATGTACTGTAATTTAACAGCATTTCCTGTTAATTTCCTGTTAATTTTACGGAAAATATACTGTACTGTAATTTTTTGCCGGCACATTTTCTGTTTTTTATAAGAATTTGTTTTTTATAGTGAATGCCGTTTGATATAAAATATCGAACGAATATCGATTTTTCATCAGAAATTGACACTGGGAGATTGGATTGTTTAGATGTACTTGATGTAATATCATGCTTGTAGGCCACTCAGAAGGGAGATCCAGTGACTGTGTTGAAGAAACAGCTGGAAGAGAAGGAGAAGCAGGTGTCTGCTGCACAGGAAGACGCTACTGCTGCCAAGAACCGCCTGAGAGAGCTGTCTAAAGTGAGATCTCACAAAACAAATCATACACAAAATCAGTTTTCAGTCACGTTGCTGAAGACTGTATTTTGTTTAGTTTGTTTTTAGCTGAGTTGGTACTGTAATGCATTGATGACTAGAGTTGTCACTGTAGATTATACCAATAATTGAGTAAATCTATTATTTTGATTAAGTAATCAGAGTTTTTAAAAGGACAAACATTAAAAATGGCCATAACTGAACAGTAACAATTCATGTGTGCACTTTCTAGGATTTCAGAATACTTTACTGAAAAAAGATGAACCAGGAAAACTTCGAAAAGATTTATTTAGAAGTACTTGAGTACATATGCACATCCCTAATATGATCCTGCCCTGGTTAGTGATATAATGTACTGAACTCTGTGTGTGTGTGTGTGTGTGTGTGTGTGTTTTTGATAGGAGCTGTCCGCAGAGAAGTCGAAGGTGGCTTCAGTGGAGACCCGGCTGAGCTCTCAGCTGAGTAAGCGTGAGCAGGAGATGATTGCTCTGCAGGCCCGCATGCAAGCCAGCTACCAGGACCATCTCGCTGAGACGCAGCAGCTCAATGCTAAAGTAACCACAGTCCGACCAAATCACACAAAAACGACAGCTTGTTTAATTCAAGTTAGGGTGCACATTTTTTCCATGCAGGCAGAATCATTAGTTCTTAATGAACGATCACATTTAGCATACAGTGCCAATCAAAAGTTTGGACACACCTACTCATACTCTGTACTCAAAAAAAGCGTTTGTCATTTCAACCTGGAAAAATACTTGATGTGGTAACAAGCAATGTAATGTGTTTTTATTCAACTTAAATAAGGAATTTGAATGAAACAATACAAAGCAAAATAAAAAGATTAGATGAACAAAAGCTTCAACAACGCCATTAACGTTAACATCTGCCCTCTTCCACTTTTTTACAGTGTAGAACAGTTTTCTTGTTTTTACTTTTTTCTAGATTTCTCATTTTTATTTAAAAACTCATGTTTTATGTATGCTGAGAACTTGTTGATTTGTAATTTCTGAACTTCCGTTTTGGAAGCAAACACATACAAAGCAGTCACATTCACTATTCATATTTATCTTTGAAACAGAAACAAGCATTTAAGCGTGAGGCTTTAGATCAGAATGTCTGAAGATTATGAAAAACATACATTCTGTCAAGTGCGCCCAATCTTGTGACTGGTCCTGAGTGTGCATTGGTGTAGATTTGATGATTGTCAGATTTTTTTTTCCAAAACATTTTGCTCCCATGCAGTTGACTTGGGACACTTTCATGCCAAATTTGAAGCCACATTGGTGAAAGTGGTTTCAGTGCATTATATGCATGAAGTGAACTGTCGTTTGCTGTCATCTTGACAGCTTAGCTGCTTGAGAATTTGCACATAAGGCCGACTGTGGCTTAGTAGTCAATTTTTGAGATATTAAAGTTAACTTCGTCTGAGTGCTTATAGTAGCTATTAAGTATTGTGCATCTCATCCCTGATTCTCTCAGGTTGCAGCTCTGCAGGAGCAGCTGGAGAAAGGCCCCAATGCTCAGCTTGCCCGTCTGCAGCAAGAGAATTCCATTCTCCGAGACGCCCTCAACAAAGCCACCAGCCAGACAGACAGCAAGTACGTCTCAGTTGCGCATTTAAAGTTGATGTCATTGATTTTTTAAGTCAGCACTCTTTTTGTAATATTTGGCAAAATTCTCCTCACGTTGCAGCAGCTGTCAAAGTATATGCTTAGAGGGAAAAACAGTCTCTGTACTTGCCTCAGTCTCTATAAACAGGAGAAAAAACAAATGAAGTGGACCACCAACATTTAACCCATTCAGGACAAGGAGGTTTATCTCCTTGCCTGTCAGTCATGTTATATCTTAGCTTGAAAGGCTGTTGAGCCATATACTGCCAAACAAACCAAGATAAGACAGCATATCATCAATCAATCCATCAGTCGGTCAATCAAATTGAAAAAAAGAAGACCTGTCTTGAGCTCGGACTGAACATAGGCCTTCCAAGGCTGGAGAGAGTTAAGAGGGTTAAAGAGCATGAAGATTTCATTTCATACACTATATGACCAACAGTATGTACACCTGCTCTTCTAATTAGTTGGTTTTGCTATTTTATCCACACTCTTTGCTAACAGTTGCATTAAGCATGCAGCAGTAAGCAATTTTTATGGACCAACAATAGCAGTAGAATGGGTCATACTGAAGAGCCCAGTTACTTCCAACATGGCCCTGTCGTGGGATGCCACCTTTTCAACAGGTCAATTCCTCAAACTAGTACTGCTAGAGCTGCCCCAGTCAGTTGTAAGTGGTGCTGTTGTGATGTAGGAACGTCTAGAAGCAACAACATCTCAGCCATTAAGAGGTTGACCAAGCAAGCTCACAGAGCTGAAGTGGGTAGTAAGAAAAATCGTCTGTCTTCAGCTGCAACACTCACAACAGAGTTTCAGACTGCTCATGGAAGCAACGTTAGCACAATGACTGTTCGTTGGGAGCTTCAAGAATGGGGTTAATGTGGCCATGCAGCTACGCACAAGCCTAAGGCCACCTGCCAGGTGAGCACGATCTGTCTGAATATACAGTGTTAAAGGTAAAGTTTTGAGGAGGAGGAATAATGGTCTGGGGATGTTTTCATGGTTTATGCAGGCCCCCTTAGTTCTGGTGAAGGGAAATATTAATGCTGTTCTAAAGTATTGTGTGCTTCCAACTTTGTAGCAACATTTTGGGGAAGGCCTTTTCCTGTTTTAGCATGACAGTGCTCCACAAATTGAGGTACATGAAGACTTGGTTTTCCAAATTACGTGTGGAAGAAGTTGACCAGCCTGCACTGAGCCTTGACCTCAAACCCATCGAAGACCATTGCCATGCTCCAACATCTTGTGGAAAGCCCAGAAGAGTGAAAGCTGTTGTATGGGGGCAAATCCATATAAATGCCTGTAGATTTGAAATGAGATATTCAACAAGCAGATGGGTGTCTGGTGTTCATATACCTTTGGCCATGTAGTGTACATTATCCTAGATCTGATACTTGTTCGGTATATGGCCATGTGACCCTAATGAGAAGGCTCATGCTGGTCGAATTAGAATTAATTCGAACAAACATATATATGTGAACTGTCAAGGCAGAAAGATCTGATCTGACCTGATAAAGCCAACATGAGCAGTAAGGTTTGCAGTGTGAGCACAGCTGTTGGTTTGTACTTGTACAGACAGAATGCTGAGCTGGCTAAGCTGCGACAGGACTGCGCCAGGCTGAATAAGGAGCTGAGTGAGAAGACAGAGGCCTTACGTTCAGAGGAACAGCTCAGGAAGAGTCTGGAGACTAAGGCCACTGTTGCTGAGAAACAACTTTGTCAGCTTCAGGTGAGCATCACAACAAGACTTGTGATTGGTTCATCCCAGCTGGAGCCACCAATGACAAATTGTCTGTCAAGGACTGGGATTGAAAAGCATATAAAACCGAAACTGAATTATTTGTTATTGCTTTAATTGTATTGATTATTTTGCTTATTATTTGTGTTTGTGGATGAAACTCAAAGTCAACCTGAAATCAAAATGGACTTTTTTTTTACCTTGTTGGTTTATGTCCCTGGTCATATTAATCAAGATTCATCATACCATACCGTTTAAAAGACAAATGTCTTGTTTTCCTGTAATCTTCTATCAAATTGAATTACTTTTGCCCGCCTTGAAAAGTCATAAGAGGTTTTGAATATGTCTCCATGCAGTAGGTGGGGTAAAAATGTTAACCAGTAATGTCTTGTTTGAAGTTCCAATCGCCCCACCCCCACATTTTATTAAAAATAACGATCATCTAGCTCTGAGATGCCCCCTAAGACCGCTATTCACCTGGAAATAAATGTTAGGGTACAAAAGGAAAGCGTGGTACGATTACCAGCTCACGTTGATGTAGCCCAACGTAACCCAAAAATTATTTTCATTTCCTGTGTGATCATGTTTTTTAAGCTGTTCCAGAACTTTCTACTAGACGATGTGCTTATCACCAGGTGCAGTCTGAGAAACGTTCCTACCTTCAGACAGCTAGCTAAGATGTTCTCCTTTTCCTTAAAATAAATGCAACTGATAGCATGCTAAGTAGCTAGCGAACAGGTTGGGCCTTGCTGTCTTGCTGGTTTGCATTTTGATTTTCTTTCTCAGGCCTGGCAGTGTATCTGCTGAACTTCTTCTGTGTTTGTATGTTTCTGTGATTAGGCTTGATTAGGCTTGCTAGGTTAAGCATAGTCTCTGCCCCTTGGCAGGGTTGGCCTTGCTAATGCGATTGTTTGCATGCTGGCACATTATTTGATTGCTAGTTTGATTGCTTTGCACTGGGCGGAGGTTTGCAATGCAGCCCTACACATTAGGGAGGAAAGTTGGAAAGTGGAATGCAAGCTTGTCTGAACAGTGCTAGACGTAAAGTTAGCATTCTTCTTGTACTTTACATTTTTCCTGAACTTCAATTAAGGTTTTATGTACCGGTTTTTTTTACATGCCAATTTTCCTACCTGTCTTAATTCTAACGTCTTTAAGCAGGCTTTTTTGGTAACGTGCCTTTAAGACTGATATCATGTAAATGAGCTCTGTGCTGATTGGCTGTAGCATAAAGACATGTAGTCGTGTAAATACAGCTACAGACTTACAGACACTACCAGGCGCTGGTCATCTTATGTAGTGTTGCTCTACCAGATATATAATGCAGTCTGTAGCCTTCACCTGTCATTTCAGTTCCTGCTTGTGTTCAGGGCTTTTTGCCTTTTTTCTTGCCTTCAGTAAGTAAAATTCATGCTCACTGAGCTTCAGGTGAAGTGACTGACCATTTCTGTTCCTGAGGCTGATCAACGATAAGTAAATCCTAGTAGTCATGCTGCTGTGTTCTTCTCTTAATGGTAATCTTTAATACATCTGTGCCTTTTCTTCAGAACAGTCATCTACTGCTCTGTTCTTTCACCGAGGTTGTTATTGCCAATGTTTTGGCTGTGTCTCAGTTTCCGCCTCACAATGGCCTGCTTTCGCAGCTGTTGACATTTCTTTGACCCTCAGTTTGAAAGTCAACAGTAGCAGACTCCGGGTGCAAATGCCACATCTGGAATCGACTCAAGTCTTTTTTTTTAATCTCTCTTGTGCATGAACTAAAAATGCGCCAACACACAGCTGACCAAGAAATAACTATACAGTTAATTGTTCAGTTTTGATGCCTTGACAGGAGGTAAATACACCAGCATGGTGGAGCATTGGGTAGCGCTGTCAGCTAACAGCAAGAAGGGCCTGGGTTCCATTCCCGGCTGGGCAACCAGGGTCCTTTCTGTGTGGAGTTTTCATGTTCTCCCTGTGTCTGTGTGGTTTTCCTGCCACAGTCCAAAGACGTACAGTCAGGCCAATAAGACATGCTAGATTGGCCCTAGGTGAGTGTGTGTGTGAATGTGTATGTCTGTCTGTCTGTATGCCCTGCGATGGACTAGCGACCTGTCCAGGGTGTATCCTGCCTTCCGCCCAGTGACGACTGGGATAGGCTCCAGCTCCCCTGCGACTCAGAGGGATAAGGTTATAGGTGTGTGTGTGTGTGTGTGTGTGTGTGTGTGTGTGTGTTTGTGTGTGAGAAAAGAAAGTCAAATATCTCTGATACATCATAAAAGAGCCTGTACACAATAAGCTGTTTATAGTATACTGGATAAAAACAAGTAGCTGACTGGATGTCAGCCAATTATGCAATTTTATTTTATTAACTTATTTTAAAACAGAAAACACATTGCACTCCTAGGTTTTCACAGGCTTTAGATGTACCACTGCTGTTTTGTCGGTGCATTTTTTCTCAGAAAGACTCAATATCATGATGCAAAGTATCATAAAGTATCGTGATGTTATATTTGTTTCTGTATCGCCCACCCTTTGTCTGCATTGCACTTTTTTTAATTACTTGTAACAATGGAAGTTTGTGCCTTATTACAGTGAATTATGTTCAAAGTGCTTCACTGCAAAAAATCATATAAGGGATGGTAAATGTCCTTGTTATGCTGTGTAATTTTACCAACTGATAAAATGACTTTTGTGTCACTGTGGACTTGAAACAATATTTGCCATCTCTTATATCATTTTGTTGTTGTGTGTGTGCTGCGTCTTTCAGACGTGCAGGGTGTCCAGTGAGCAGGCCCTGCAGCGGAGGCTAGAAGAGGTGAGTGAGGAGCTGAGGAAGGCTCAGAGCAGCAACAGCAGCCTGCAGACACAGTTGGGGCAGGCTCAGCGAGACAGCGTCGCCCTCACAGGTAGGGTTGTGTTCGGTGAACAGAAAAGAGTAGAAAAATGTGAAATTCTGTGCTTGTTTTAATTATGGAAGCTGTTTAATCAGAGCTCAGCTTCTTTTATTGGCCTGTCATTAAGAAAAATGCTAGCAAAGGGACACAAACTTGGTACCAAAACAGGTATATAACTTATACTGCACAAAGACACTTGATCTGGCTTATATGACTCCTTTGCTTATCTCTTATTTTTTTCAAAATATCCTTGAAATGTGTTTTTTCATTGCCTGCGCCTGTCTTGTTCCTCCAAAATGATGGCGTAAAGTCTAAACATAGTAACAGGCATTTTGATAATGCAGCAATAAAGGAGCTCTTATCCACAGCCCAGTGCTGGGAGGCTGTGTACCCTTCCAGCTGATGCTTGACATTGGGCATGGTGACCTTAGGCTCATACGTAGCTGCTCCAGAGCGTCCCATTAAATTGGCAATGCTTTTTTTTTATGGAGATTATACAAGGTGTGCATTTGAATACCCATGTCAGCAATTGGTGCACCTTAAAATAGCTGAATTCACTAATTAGAAGCATGTGGATACCTTTGAGCATGTAATGTAGCAAAGCACTTTTAGATTTTTATGCTAATTTAATAGAAAACAGCCATGAATGTAGTGAAGTGTTTGCAAAACTTTGCTTACATTATCTGTCTTTTTTAAGATTATAAAAAATGCTCTCATAAAACTCAAATTACCCCTTCATTTAAAACATCAAAAAATGCTAAAAACTATATTGATATTATGCCTTGTTTGGCTGCTCTGTTGCCCCATACATTTCCTCTAGTGCACTGCAATCTGTTGGAATGACCATATGTAACACATGAGCATTATAGAGCATTGTGGAGTACTTTTTTACAGTAAATGACATGTCATGTAAAAATCAGTGTTTTTTAAAGATCAGTATCATCAACTTTGAGGACTATGATAGCAACCGCCAGGGTAATAATAATAATAACAACAACAATAATGAACCTGAACTGCAGTCAATTTTATTGAATAGTTGACAGACTGCGTTGACACTAAATCCAGTTTAATACAACTAACTAAGTACTGATGATTTCCATAATACAACCAGAAAATCATATTATGACAGAAGTTATCATATTAAAATATCGCCATATTGCCCACCCCTGGCATTATGCATACATTCCACTTTACCAGGTCTGTCCTACACCTTGTTTAATAGATGTTGGTTTGTGTTCTGTGTGACAGAGGTGCGTGGGCGCGTGGCTGCCCTGGAGGTGGAGCTGAGGGAGCAGGTGGGGCAAGTGGAGGGCCTGCGGGCGCAGTTGAGCCAGGCTGAGCTGGAGAACAGGCAGCTGCAGGAACAACTGGGCTCCGTCCGCACACTGCTGGAGGCCAGCCAGAGCAAGGAGCAGGAGCAAAACACTGAGGTAACACTCCTGAATCAAACATTGCATACAAATTAAGTGATAGTTTGGCAAATTTACAGGTTTACAGGTTTTGGCAAATTTACAAATTTACACTTTACTGAATGGAGGTATTCATAGGGCTACATGACACGTTTATGGACCACTTTACCTAATTAGCTCAAACTGCAGTCTTACAGCTATTAAAAATATCTAAGTATTCAGACTTTAGATGTTTACAAGGATTATATTTTGATCTATTTAAACCCAAGGCATTCACTGAGGTAATAATAAGCTACATATATACAAAAACATCATATACAGGGTCCTTTTTAGTGGAGGTGCTGTTCTAAACCCTAACACCTTTTTAAAGATTTTTTTTTATTTCTGTTTAAAGCAAAGTTGAAAGATTTAGATTTATCATTAGTTTAATTTTCAAATAAAAGAACTTTAAAAATCGCTGTCCAACGTTTTCATGTTACTACCAAAACACATATGCCATGTCCGAAATGGCTCTGTAATCACCCTAAATTTAAAAATCTCGATCACTACATAGATATTGTTGGAGCGGAATTTTTAATGGTTGGAGCGGAAATCTTGATGGTGGTAAATGATTTCAGACACTACGTCATATGGGTTTGCTTATTACTGTGCGAAAGCAGATTCCATCGCAAAAACATCTTGCCACCAGTCCAGTACAACCACACAAAGAGAGTTTACTTTCATTTGTAACAAGTTTGAAGGGAGGTCTCTGGAGATGCTGCCATTTTAGCTCATGAATCTTCAAAGACAACAACGCAGTGCTTTATGGGTATCCTCTCTCCGCTAGGGTGCACTGGTTGCACACTACTTATTGCAGTGCACTGTGGGATTGTTTGAGTGCACTGGATGTTTTCAGACAACTCTGCAAAATAGCGCAATACATAGTGAATAAGGCACAGGTTCGGACACAGCAAGAATTTTAGTCTGTAGGCGGAGGCTTGTTTTATTTTAGCCACCCGCCTGCACTTTAGAGCAGGAAGTGAGATTGCGTCCCTGTCCCTCATGGCCACATGGTGAGCAGTTAGATCTCGTTGTTTTGAAGTACATGTGTCCTAATGTCTGAAAATCAGTGCGTAACATTAAAATTAGCTAAAATTGTCACTACTGAAACTTTGCCAAATGTTTTGGTAGTGTTATGATTGCTTTGTTAGTGGCAAAATGGAATGTTCAATCATTTGTTTTAATAAAAAAAAGTCTTAAGATGTGAGGTGAAATGACATCAAAACGAACAAAAGTAGACTTTGGGACAACTGATGCTTGTCGGAAGCCTTTTATCGTATCTTATAGCCTTACGAGTGCTGCTCTTCAGTAAAATGTTACTAATTTACAAAATTTCCCTTTAACCCAAAAGTAGTCAGTCAGCATGTTTGGTGTCTGATGTTTACCTCTTTAGTTTTGCACTGGAGCTACAGGGCTAATGTAGCTAATCTAGCTAATATTGAATAGAAGCTTTTTATGCCAAGGAGTATCACGCAATCTTAGCCCTTGTGTGGTGTTGATGTTTTTTTTACTCAGTGGTCTGGTGGACCCACCACATTATTATTTTTTTTTAATCAATACAGCCATAGCAATTTATTTAAAAATACCAGATGTGTAAAATATGTGTAAAACAAGCAGCCAGGTTCTCCTTTAGCAGCTGTAGCCAGTCAGCAGCCTGTGCATGTTGTCCACCCTCACACACGCGCACATATACAAACACATACACACACGGACACACACACACTAACAGCAGGCCATGTAGGAGGAGAACAGAGTGAAGGACACAGCACCTCCACACTTTTATTCCTCGTGGAATTTTCTTCACAGAAAATGAGTAAAGGCCAAGGAATCTGGGTTTGAAATAATAATAATTCGCAGAATTTTTTCTTTTGGTAAACATCAAAAATGGGTCCCACAGACCCGAACACCACACAAAGGTTAAAAAGAGTGGACATTAGTGCATTGGGATAGCATGGGACGTATTGTCTTTGAAAGCACTATGTTTTATTACTTATTGATACCGGTAAGGATTAGTAATGATTCTTCCTTTTTGGTCCTTAATCATCATTACTAATGTCAGTTTGGATCTTTGGACAGGCTGTGGTGTCAGAGCTGGAGGAAGCAAAAAACAGGTAAGTTGTGTTGAATTTATATTAGATAAATATGTGTAAATGTATTCTTGTAATGTCAACTCATATTCAAACCTAGCCACCATCCTCCAGGCAGCCTTAACATGTCAGATAGAATCATTTTCTTGGGTATATCTAGCTGACAGCTAGTTGTTACTGTCATGTTCCTCAGGATTTAACAGAGTGAAAACGCAGAGTGAAGTTCATATACATTCATTCTGAAGTTCATATCATTCCTTCTGAAGTTATTGCAGATTCTTCATTCACCAATGAAAGGACGTTAAGTAGGATTAACTGCTGTGTCAAGCCTCGTTCTGTCACACATGCTGCAATTTATGAAAGATAGAAGTAAAACTACTAATGATGATACTAAGTGTATCATGAATGCATGTTTAGGGCATTATTGTTGTATCTAGTGTAGGGCTGTCACTATCAGTCTGTATATACACTATATGGCCAAAAGTATGTGGACACCTGTCCAAAACATATTTTTATGCTGTAGCATTAATGTTACCTTTCACTAGAACTTAGGGGCCGAGCCCAAACCCTGAAAAACAGCCCCAGACCATTATCTCTCCTTTGTCAAACTTTACTGTTGGCACTATGCACTCCAGTAGGTAGCGTTCTCCAAATCCAGATTTGTCCATCAGACTGCCACATAGTGACACATGATTCATCAATCCAGAGAACGTTTCCACTGCTCCAGAGTCCAGTGACGACGTGTTTTACACCATTTTAGCCAATACCTGACATTGTGCATAATGATCTTAGGCTTGTGTGCAGCTGCTCAGCCATGAAAACCCATTCCATTAAGCTCCCAATGTATAGTTCTTGTGCTAATTTTGCTTCCAGAGGCAAATCTGTAGTGAGTGATGCTGTGACTGAGTGACTGTGAGTTTGCATAGTCCACCACTTTGTGGCTGAGATATTGTTGATCCTAGACACTTCCATTTCATACAGATACCACTTACAGTTGACAGGGACAGATTTAGCATGGCAGAAATTTCAGGAACTGACTTGTGGTAAACGTGGCGTCCTATGACAGTCCATGTTTGAAGTCACTGAGCTCTTCAGTGCAACCCATTCTACTATCAGTGTTTGTCAGTGGGGATTGGTTGGTTTTGTGCTTGTTTTTATGCGCCTGTTAGCAATGTGCAAGACTGAAACACCTGAAATCAATAATTAGGAGAAGCGTCCACATACTTTTAGGCCGCTACCAGCATATATTTTGAATCGGATACCAGAGGGAAAAAGAATGAATTTAATCCAATACTGCAAAAAATCCATCCTGCACACAGTGTATCTTATCACACACTCACCCTGTGGGATGTCATTAGCTGTGTTTTTTTCCTGTGGGGTAGTAGAGTGATTGAGTAGTTTGATCATGAGAGACATTTTTAGAAAATAGCTCATTTTAAAGTTTATCTACAGTACAGTACAGATAGTACTGTACATGGATTAAAATTGATCTTAGCAATTAATGTGTTGTTACTTGTAAAAACACCATAAAACATTAGAATAAATGCAAACAAACAAAGATGCAATAAAAGTAAGAATTTCTCGATTTTACAAAAGTAGTTTCCAAAACACTTAATGCTTAATTAGGCATTGATTAGCCAAACCAGGTATTAGATGAAAACTACAAGCAGTATCGGGCTGCCTCAAGTTAAGAAGTTAAAAGATATAAACACCATACATTGAGTCACTACTTGTATTGAACTACATTTGAATTGATGTCATATGTATTTATTAAAATATTAGCATTTTTCTGAGCGAATTACTGCTCATGGACAGTTTTTTTTTAAAATATAAATCAGAATTATCAGAGTTTTAAAAAAGGCCTATACAATAAAATCAGATTTATGCTGAACAGTGACAAACCAAGCACATCATTTAAAAGATGCCAAAATCCTTTGTTGGAAAAAAGCAACTAATAGGGAGGTTTAAAATGAGATGCAATTATACATTTTTATGAATTATCTAGTGAATGAACTGATTTAAATTTCTTTTGAATACAAATTTTAATATAATTAAAATTCAACTTAAGTCAAAATAGATGCTGATGCATGCTCTGAGATGCCAAAATAATTTTCTTTGAAAAAAATCTGATTTTGTGCATAAGTTATGTGCTGGATGTTAAAAAGCTTCATGTGTTTTGCAGCTTGTGATAATTACTAATTTGTTTTTCTCTGCTGCACATTTGCAACTTTGTTGCATGCCTGCCCACGTCTATAACCACCCAGTATTTGTCCATAAAGTGAGCAAATACAGAACTGCTGCATATGGTGTAAAAGACCACTTGTGACTAAGTGCATGAGAGTATGGGTTTGAATGTCCTATCTAAATACAAGGGTTAAATATCCAAAGCTATTGTTTTGTAATGCTGGCCAGCTTTAAGGTCCTCTTTATGAATATCTGACCTTTGCCCACTTTTGGTTTAAATTTGATTTGATAGAGGGCAACAAATCTTAATTCTAATTTAGAAATTTACTGCAAAACTAAAATCCTCATTTTGACATCAATTCCCATTTACTCTGTCTCTTTTTCCCTCCTGTAGCCTGAAGCAGAAAGAGAGCAGGGTGGCTTTGCTTGAAGAGGAACTGACTCAGCTGAGAGATACAGTCACTAGGCTGGTAAGACATTCTCCTTGTGCTTTATTATCTACAGTACTATATTGTTTAGCAGTGTTCATTAACTAAAGTATTGTTTCAACAGGAAAAGGCTGCAACAGAGACAGAGCCACCATCAAACAAGTATGTATGCCTTATTTTATGGTGCATACTAATGTATTTACAGTTTTATTGCCATAAATACTGATGAATTTATGTAGCAGGCCACAACCCACTGTTTTAGCAGGATTACTATTTACTACTCTCTGTTAATCCCTACTAAAAATAAAACCTTTGTTTCGAGCACCTGCTGTTAATTACCAATTCAGCCGAAAGCAGAGTGAGCGCAAACACAGTTACTTCTTACCCCATAGATGAGGTTAACAGTAACAAATGCCACTAGTTGAGGGGGAAAAAGAAGTGTGGTAATTTGATGCAAGCAATTACTTTAATACAGTAATATTAAAATACAGTACACTTCTATGTTGTTTGAAGAGTCAAACATGACAAAATTATAGACGAGGTAGTATCAGCCTGATAAAATTGAAACACAGTTTCATTTACATAACTTCTGTAGCATGATTTTGATGAATGTGAGCATCTTTCAAGAAATTATTTGTTATGTGTATTGCAAATGGCCCACCACCCACAATATCTGGTTAGTGGTGGTCCAATCATGGTCCCTTTCCATTGATAATCAGGGTAGAAGGGAGGTGATAAATTGTTCAGCAATAGATGATAGGCTACAATCAGTAACTGTAAACCTACAAAGTGATAAAATGACCAACGAGCAAAGGAACGAGGCAGGTGTACATAATAAACCAGGGGTTCAGCAAAGATCAGATAGAGGGCAAGCTGATTATGAAAACTGAAGGTTACTTCTTCTGTACTCACAGTGAGAACCAAAGCCAAATTGAATCACTACAAGAGGAGCTCAGAAGCCTGACAGAGGAATTGGAAAGGCTCAAAACTGTAAGTGAACTGTAGTTGCCACGTCTCTGAAATTCACCACCTTCTTCTGTGTTCTATAATAAAATCCAAATATTTCTCATCAGGCTGAAAACAGAGCAGCAGAGGTAGAGCATTTACAGAAAACGGTATGGATGTGTTTTACCTCAGTTTTCATACATTTTCACACTTCAATCTTGTACCTATCAAACAAGGTTTTACTGCCTGTATTATTTGATCTTTTTTACAGTTTAAAGGAGAAAGACAACCAAATAGCATCACTTCAGGAAGACCTTGAACAGTTCAAGCAACACCTCGAGCGCAGCAAAGTAAGCTTATTTATACCTTTATAACATTGTGACTTGTTCTTTATCATTTATTTATTTATTTATTAATTAATTTTATTTTTCATTCAAGCATGAAAGCACAACAAAGCTTGAACAAATGCAAAACAGGTAAGCAAGTTTAACACACCTGTCTGTAATTTGGACAGGGTTACTTTTCCATGCGGAGGTGGAGTAACGCAGTTGCACCAGAGAATGTGTGCAGTATTTATGGCCGATTTGCGCTGGATAAGAAATCCCGGTATAAATTACCGAGATGGGAGTGGCTTTTCGACTGCCTTCACTCCAATATAGAGTAGAAAATGTGTCAGAACATTTATTTTAGCCATTATTTCGTTGACCCTAACTGTCTACTTAGTTGTCTTAAGTGAATGCAGTGTGTAATTAACGTTATAATTAGCTTGGGAATTTTGAGCCAACAGTCAATATCACTGCATAAAATCAGTTTTGTTTTATTTCCTTTTACATGTTTTACTGTTCAACACAAGTAAAAATTACATTGCCTTATTTCCTCTATGTAAAACTAATCCTGTCCAAATATTACTTTAGCCATAATAGAAAACATTGATAGAATAGATAGAAAACATCTATTGCTTATTCATATCATAACGGCCTTTCAATTCATCCCTTTTGCTTTTGTAAAGCTTGAGAGAGAGGGAAGCTCAGTTTTACTCGCTTGAAGAGGAACTGAAGCAGCATAAAGAGCACAACACAAGTGTAAGTTGCGTTCAACATCTTGCCAAATTCTTGTCAAACCACATGCTGTGGCCTTTTTCACTGGCATTGACCAATACTGGAGTTTTGGAACTGATACCAGCGGAATGCAGGAAATCTGCCAATATTCAGATATTCAGTAAATACACTTCTGCTGGATTAAGTAAAATCAGAAATTACATAAAGAAATATTGCACTTGAGTAAATGTAATTAGTTACTAGCCACCATGTTTTAGCAGGTGAACGCCTCAGCACAGCTGGAGTCTCTGCAGAACAGGTACCCACTTTTACACAGCCCTTTCACCCATCCACTACAACCTGTTTTCACATACTTGATTCCCATCTGACATGAACAATGCAAAATAATGCACTGAGTTTCAGTTCTTTTTCTTGTTGTGGTATAGAAGTTTTGATGGTACTTGGCATGTGGTTTATTTAATCTGGTTTTGCTCTCAGTCTAAGTGAGAAAGAAAGGCTCGTAACAGCTTTACAGGAAAAGCTGCAATACCTGACTGAGGAAGCACACCAGGCGAGGGAAAAGAGTGAAGTGAGTTTGTTTAAAACTTATTGCAAATATTGTGCTTTTGATTTGTACTTTTACAGTCTTTACTACCATACTGCCTATTGTTGTGTGGTTATAGTGTTATGTTTTCATGTATATTGTACATACAGTATTATGCAAAAGTATCTTGTTCACGATATCTGGATGGATGTCCAGATAGCCGTCATTTTGTTGGCCATCCACCATACTAGCCATCCTCTTCCTCTTCCTCTTCCAAGCATAACTTTTCTTTATATGTCCAAAATATAAGAGCTTCAGTTTAGTTATCTGGGCTACGAGTCAGAGGTGAGGCCTTTTCCACCCAAGGGACTTTCAAAAGTCTTCGCCAACACCAAAGTTCAAGGGCATCAGTATTTTTCCTGTCCTGCTTTTCAATTGTCCAGTTTTCACATCCATAAAGAACTACAGAAACTACAGATCAATGCATAGAAAGTGTTAATCTTTGTTTGTAGAGACATCATTACCTTTGAAAATCTTTTCAAGCTCCTTCATTCTTATTCTTCTGGAGGCCAGTCTGTGTTTTACTTCTTGACAGCTGGATCCTTCATTGTTAACAGTTGATCTAAGTAGGCAAAAGCTGTCCACCACTTCTACATCTTCACCATCAATGATAGAGTCTTTCTTGTGGTAATAACCAATGTTTTTTAACATTGAGTTGAAGTCTAATCTTCTCATTCTGTTCTTTCCTTTTAAGGGCTTTCAGGCCTTTCAGATTTTCCAATATAAGCATTGTGTCATCCGCAGGTTTATCTAAGGTCATTGATGTTTCTTCCACCAATGTTGAATCCTTAGTCATCTTTCTCCTGTCCTGCTTCTCTTATTATGTGTTCAGCATAAAGGTTGAACACATGTGGTGATAGTATGCAGCCTTGTTCTGTAATGACTGTGTCTTGTTGATCAGTGTAGAGGTTCCTCATTGGAACATCAAGAAGCTCTGGTATAGTCTTTTTCAATAAATCAGCATACATCAGCAGTGAAATCTTGCTTGTGCAAATCTGCAACCAAACGTGTTTTCTGTGTCCTGTGTTTTAAACAATTTTGCTTAGGTGCTTTAAGCCAGCAGGATACTTCAAACGAAAATGACATCTCAGCGGAAAACAAGTCTTTTTGGCCAAACCAATGCAGTGGTTTCAATTCGTAATGGTGCAGTGGACGCTGCTTGCTTAACAGAACTCCTGATCACTGCCTCATTTGTTCTGAGACCTCCCCTTGACTGTGATTGGTCCCCTGCATGAAGCGAGCTTTGAGCAGTGAAATACACTTGGTTAATTTAAAGTATACTTACATAAGCTGGTTCAGCAGTAGTTCGTTTTCATTTAGACTGATGAAACTATCAACTCACTGAGGATATTGATTTCTGTATAAATTAAAACTTGTAAGGTTAAATTTTAAGACATTATAATAAAAATCCATATTTGGTTGCTTATAAGCATTACTGGTTAGTTTTCACTAGCAACCATTTTTGAGCCATTTTCACTAACAACTGTTACATTGATAAAATGATATTTGAATCATTGTCCTGTATTTGAATGGACCTTAATGTTTGTGCTTCTTGTGACATGTTGTTGCAGTAGTTTGTATAAACACTGAATATCACATCTTGTGTAAATAAATGTTAATACTTGTTTTTCCAGCACAACACAGAGGATCTGCAGGCATTCCAGACTGAGACCATCAGTGCACTACAGTCACTTTTCCCACACATCAACATAAACACCAAACAGGTGACTAAGTTCCCCTTTAACACAACTTCTATTTTTCACATCATTTTAGACTTCAGCTACTAATTTTAGCCTTCTGTACTTCCCACCACTGTAACCTTAAATAAGACTAAGGTTATGATAGGAGTGTAATGGAAAAGCAATTTCCTAGGCTTGGGTGATTGGGCAGTGTTATCATCACAGTGTCAGCAGTGCTTATTTTATTTGTGTTGAACAATTTGGTTGTTTTATAGTTTAATATGTAAAAGTGCAACATTGCTATCCATAAATCAACCTCAAATATCGTGAATTATCATCACAGTGGAGAAAAATGATCAGGAGCTGTAGGAAACCTTTTAATGTATTTTTCATATTTGTTAAAAGCATAAATTTATTAAGCCTATGGACTACAGATTTTTGCTTGTATTAACTCATTTTTTCTCCCAGTCATGTGCAATTCCACACGCTATTTTGGTCTCTTATCACATGACGCTGCTAAGGTGGGAGACTGAAGGCTAGCATGTACTTCCTCTGAGACATGTGCAGCCAGCCAATATCCAAACTATAGCTAAAACAGCCTCATTGGATATATTATATGGTCATAATTCTGTCAAGTTGGTTCAAAGTCGCAGTTCAAAACACATTTCAAACTTTTAACTGACTTGGACTTTAGACTAAAATCCTTTTGCTTTGAGTGAACCTATACCTTAATTATCTTTATTTTATTAAAACTAATGATTGAACTTTCTATTTTGACACCATCAATACAAACATAACGCCTCTAAAACTTTACAGTAGTTACTGTTTCGGTAGTGACAGTTTCAGCTCATTTTGAGCACAACTCAAAACACCAGCCAGTGCATGACTAGCAAACACAGCTTTGCACAGCTGTACACACATAAAATCATCATCAAAATTCATCAAAACATACAAAACGTTTACTTAATGGCATAAAATATATGTATCGGTAATGACTGTTCTTAAGGTTTTACACTGATTTTCAGACTTTGGGACACATTTACATCAAAACAATGGGATCTGACTGCTCACTAGGTGGCCATGAGGGACAGCCATGCAGTCTCACTTCCTAAAGGGGTGTGGCTAAAATAAGTCTCCATCTACAGACTAAAACTTTGTGTTTCGGTAGTGACATGAAAACATGGGAGAACATTTTTTGAATAAAGTTTTTTTTTGTTTAGAAAGTAAACTGATGATCATTCTAAATATTTTGTCCTTAGTTTAACATAAATTAAAAAGATCTTAAAGAAACAACAATATTAAAAAAGCCGATATGATATCACTTATTAGGGGTTAGGGTTTGGGACAGCCACCTCCTAACAGAAAGTACCCTATACAAGATGATTTTGTATATATTTATCTTATCTCAGTTATGCGTTAAATTTAAATAGATCGCAACATACTTCTTGTAAATATCTCAGGTCTGAATACTCAGTTTTTTTTTACTGTGGGACCACAGTTTGAACTAATTCAGCTGAGGTCCATGTTCACCCATGCTGGCTAGGTAGGGCCATCTCACCCACCAAGAGACAGGGAGGCCAGTTATGCTCTTTTGGACTCCTGTTAATGCTTAGACGGCTGCCCCACTCAGGAGCCCCATGAGTGTCTTTTTTAATAATGTCATCTGTCAAGGTATTTATAAAAGGCAGATTAGTAATTCTTAAAAAAAAATATCACCCAAACCTAGCCATAACATATCATTCCTTCTCCTGAATTTTTTTTCTGTTTTTTTATCTACTAATAAACTTCTATTCAACTTCTATTCCACATTTGCTCATTTTAATGAATTGCTGTCAATCTCTCTCCTCCAGGACAAATGGTTACAAGAGTTTTCAGAGAAAGCACAGGAGACTCTGAGTGCAAGAGAACAGTGCCTAGAATCACAACAAAGCAAAGTGACAGTAAGGACGAATTCATATTCATCTCATTCTATGTTAAAGCTCCCTGGCGCCCCCTTGAGGAAGCTTCTGTTGTCACTGTTTTGTTAATGTGTCCTTTTCTTTCGCCAGGAGCTGCTGGGGAGACTGAGTGAGGTTCAGGAGAGTCAGAGCACACTACAGGCAGACTGTGAACAGTACAGGAACGTACTGGCGGAAACGGTGAGATGACAGTGCTGTTCATGTTAGTTCAGTGTTGCCTGACTGGAGCTGGGACTATCTTTAAGGTGTGTTTAATTGCTCTGCTACAGGAGGGAATGCTCAAAACCCTTCAGAGGAGTGTAGAGGAGGAGGAGGTTGGGTGGAGGACCAGGGTCACAGAGTTGGAGGAGCAGCTGAGGAGGGTGAGACCATTCAGACATCAACACACAAACACCTGTTTGTGTCCATATCATGGAAAAGTGAGCTAGGGTGTGATGTAGTATGTAAACATTGTTACTTACTACATACACAGAGTCAGAAAAAAATTAGGACACCCCATGAAATCTTTATCATAGGTTTCAACATATGGACATCTGATTTTCATTTTAACAACATTGAGAGATACAAACTAAACAAATAAAACTCAAGGATTGTTTTTGACAAATTATAATTTGCAAAATGTTATTAATAGAAATGCAATTATTTGTGAGGAAAAAGTTAGGACACCCCCACATTTATTACTACTTAGAAATAACTAAAAATAACTAGAAATAAGCTGTTAGGACACAGGGTGTCCTGACGTTTTCCTCAGTAAGAACAGGCATTCATTTTTTTAGGTAAATTAATGATAAGATTCATCGGATTTAAATTTTTTTTTTGCAAAGGTGATACAATTACATCACCTTTATCTAAAGATATTGTTTGAAAGATCATCAAATGTTGATATGTCCATATTACTTAATAAAGAACTAAAATTTTCACGACAGTAAATGTTTCACAGTGTACTGTTTATTCCCCAGTCCATACAGTCAATGTCTGGAAACTGAGCTGTAAAAACTGCCTGTTTTGTATTCGTTGTTTTTGTGATGTCATGAAAACCAATCTATATCCTAAATCTGATGCCTGAACAGCATTTTAAAAGCTTCAGATACTCGTTGATATTTCAACAAACACTCAAACAACACTAAACAACTGCAAGTTTTTTTGGCCAGTTACAGAGCCTAGAAACAATAACAAGCATACAATAACTGAATAAACTACAAAGCTGTGAAGCTGGCAGTGTACCTCAAAAACAGCGTTTCCCAACAAAACAACATATTTTTGGCCAAAATGATGCAGTGGTTTGGGTTACATATAACTTTGTTTGTTCTTATTTTATTACTTAATCTTTACTAGTTGTTTCCTGCTTAAATCTTTTGCAGGCACAGTCTTTGGTTTCTTGGAAAGTCTCAGAAGATCGTGATACATGTTGTACATTGTGAAAATGCCTTTGTGTATCATGATGTTATATTTGCTATACAGTAGTACCTGTTTTTCAGCTTAGGGTAGTAACTTCTCTTGCCCTGTACAGGCTGTAAACATAATGATGATACTCATTCCCAGTTGCTTATCAACTACCCTGTATGTTCTTAACAGCTTTTCTTTTGTTCTTCCAAAGGCATTGCAGAAGGTGCAGGTGTTGGAGGAGACGACAGAGAACCTAAGAGCTGAGAACAAGACCACAGAGCAGGTACGTGCTTTCACTTTGTCTGTTTTTGCATTGTGTTTTCATGATCCTACCATAGTTGGAGGAAAACATTGTTTTACTTTTGAATGATTCTGTATATCCATTGTAAGGCCATATTGTTGTGACTCATTTACTTTCTTCTGATCCGTTTATTTATGGGATTTTGAGCGGTTTAACAATGTCCGCTGCTAGTCCACGAAGTAGCACGATGAAAGAAGAAAAGCTTTTGAAGATGGGTTTATTTATGATATGACACATAAATCTGTATACTCCTACAGTGACTTCACATGAGTCTTGTGAAGCTCATGTGATCCACCAAACCTAAATTGCTCAAAATAATGCAGGTCAATTTTTTACCACATCAAATCAAGAGTTAAATTTACCGTTCTGTTTAATATATTGTATGCAAGTGCAATCTGTAGCAATGTAACTGCAATATGATATTTTGCCTATATTGTGTAGCCCTACTAGTAGACTCTGCTTATAAGGTACTAATATAATAGACTCCAAGTTGCTTATTTTAATGGGCTCCAACAGTCCAAACCAGAAAATGTGGCTAATAGAATAGGCTCCAACATTTGGAGTCAGGCTTTTAAAGGGGTTCTTTGTAATACAGCTACACAGCTGTTCTCTTCCTTTGTGCAGCTCAAGGAACATGTGGTGCTTCTGGAGGCCCAGCTGGAGAAACAGCATCAGTCTGATTCCTCCAACAACCTAAGCCACTCTGAGGAGATGGAACAGGTCAGATTGCCCTTATGGCTTTCTTACATGATGTGGGCTGTCTAAGTGTTATCAGGGTGTGCTGTACATCTACATCCACATTTACATGTTTTTTGCGATTCAGTTTCATAGATGTTTATTGCATTTTGTACAATAAAAAAAGTCACAGTTATTAATAAAATATTTAAAAACCAGTTATAGAACCCACATTTTTTGCCACAAATAGGTACCTTGCCTCTTTGCATGTAGTGTTTTTGAGAGTCTTAAGGCTGAACCTTCTGCTTTAGCAGTCACAACTTAATATCCCAGATCAGTGGTATTCTACTAAAATTTGGGAAGGTCCGGTTACATCAGATTTCTAGCTTACAAAGGTTCAAATAAACTAAAGTGAACAGTGACAAGAGTTACCTTTAAATGCTTAAACATTAACATTAATTGCGTCCAGTCAACTAATAAAATAAAATAAGAAATATCAAATACATTTTGAAAAAACGTTTTATTTTGAACATACTTTTATCACACGTGTTTACACCGATCAGGCATAACATTATGACCATCTCCACGTTTCTACACTTATTGTCCATTTTATCAGCTCCACTTACTATACAGGTGCACTTTGTAGTTCTACAGTTACAGACTGTAGTCCATCTGTTTCTCTGTATACTTTGTTAGCCCCCTTTTACCCTGTTCTTCAATGGTCAGGACCACCATGGACCCTCACAGAGCAGGGTGGTGGATCATTCCCAGCACTGCAGTAACACTGAAGTGGTGGTGGTGTGTTAGTGTGTGTTGTGCTGGTACGAGTGGATCAGACACAGCAGTGCTGCTGGAGTTTTTAAATACTGTGTCCACTCACTGTCCACTCTATTAGACACTCCTACCTTGTCAGTCCACCTTATAGATGTAAAGTCAGAGACGACAGCTCATCTGCTGCTGCACAGTTTTTGTTAGTCATCCTCTAGTCCTTCATCAGTGGTCACAGGACGCTGCCCACAGGACACTGTTGGCTGGATATTTTTAGCTGCTGGACTATTCTCAGTCCAGCAGTGACACTGAGGTGTTAAACTCCAGCAGCACTTCTGTGTCTGGTCCACTCAGACCAGCACAACACACACTAACACACCACCACGTCAGTGTTACTGCAGTGCTGAGAATGATCCACCACCCAAATAGTACCTGCTCTGTGAGGGTCTATGGGGGTCCTGACCACTGAAGAACAGGGTAAAAGGGGGCTAACAAAGTATGCAGAGAAACAGATGGACTACAGTCTGTAATTGTAGAACTACAAAGTGCTCCTGTATAGTAAGTGGAGCTGATAAAAAGGACAATGAGCGTAGAAACAAAGAGTGCTCAGTTCAGTCCGCTGAAATACTTTGCTGTGCCTGCCAGTTGACGACCCCTGACCTAGATATAGTAAACTAGTTAGTAGCATAGCTATAATAGCCTTAAACAATATTGATAGTGATAAATGAATGCCATTGGACCACCCAAAAATATTAACAACATACAAAATCAGCATGAGATTATAAAAATGCTATGTTTAATGATTGAAAAAATGATGATGGTAAATAAAACTAGTCTATGGACTATAGGCAATAAAAGGCAACGTCAATGAATGATAAAGGATAATTTTCCCAGATGATGACAAGGTTGAGTGTGTGCCCTTATTGTTCGCACCACTGGTCTATGCAGTTTTTCTACCTGGTAATTAATCGCATGATGACAAATTGCTTGTAATGAAGTAGAATGTGCACAAGTTCTATGTGAAATTCTAAATACATCTAAATGTGATTTACTGTGAGCTTATTAGCATTCCTCTGTTGAAATAGCTATTCCTCACAAACTTAAAGGTGTGAAATAACAATCTAGTATAATCTTTTATTTGAAAATTCACTTTAATTCTTCTTTACAGCTGAAGCAGCTGCTATCAGAATCTGAACACCAGCTACAGACAGCCCAGAAAGAGGCACTTTCACACCGAGAGGAGCTCGCACAGGTGAGGGTTTCTACAGAACTGTTTTCCACTTCTTGTAAACCAGAGACACTGAATTGATAAATAACTGTGCTGGCCTAATTTGATTTAAATTTCTGCTTTTTCACTCATCCCTCATCCTTCTTTTTTTCCTCCGTTTTATACCCTTACAGCTCTTTCATCTTTCAAACTAAAGCCATAATACTTTAAAGGCTATACCACTTCAGTTCTTGCTTTCATTAGTGTTACTCAAATTCTGTTCTCTTAAATCTCTAAGACATCTTTTTTCCTGATTATGTTTATGTAGGAGTCTACCCCAAAAAATACACTTAATGAAATTTCCAGTAGATTTTAATTAAGAGTAGATAAATACAGCCTGCATAGAAGACTATAGCTAGTGTGGATGTAGTTATATCGAGCCAGTAGAAGTGAATAAGTATGAATGAAGGACTGTACTTACAGCTGTGCAGATGTCTTCCATTCTGGCCAGTTAAGAAGAAACTAGTTGTGTTTAATTATGTGGGGAAAGTGCATTTTAATCTGCAGCACAATAAATATTTATTCCTACCAGAACTGACTTCATTTGGAGTCTTTTTTTTTCAGATAGAGTAAGCCTTGTTCTGGACTACATTTTTCTTGCAATGGAGAATCTCTGTTCGGAATTCTCTGCAGTTCAGGACTTAATCTTTGTCCAGGAAAAACACCAAAACTGAGCTAAAAAATTCCAGAGAAATCTAAATATTGAGTATAGTTATTGTGTTATATGACTACAACTCCCGCGATTTTTTAGCTAAACCAGTAAAATATGTTATATATGATATATATAAATTATATATAAATGTACCATTAGATGTAAAATTACATTTCATTACAGTTTCTCTGAACTGCTCCTTCAAGAAATATGCCTTGATCCTTCTCTATCCTTCTCTTTCTCTTTTCTTTCCTTTCATGCTTTTTAGCCTACATTAATAGTCTCCCTTAAGTTAAACCTTTTTTGTGCTGATGTTAGCAGCATGCATTCCTACCTCAAGGGTGAGGCACTGTGGCCTTGTTTGCTGCAGAATGGAGCCACATGGAGTAACAGCTTCCTATTTCAGGTCAGGCAGCAGCTGAGCCAGATGAAGGAGTATGCAGAGAAAGGGGTGGAGAATGGCCAGCCTGAGCCATGTCAGGTTAGGGTGTGGATCCCACTGGGTCACCCCATACTCAGCATTGTGCCCATTGTACAGTAATGGATACAGGGTGCCTTTAGAACCTCTACTCAAAACTGCTTTGATTTAAATGCACACTATGACTGTAGATGTTAGATAAAGGTTATAACTAAACTCTCCAGGCTGGTAGATCACCATGGCTGGACTTGGTTACACATGATTTAGCTGTTAAATAAATGTGCGCAGCAAACTCCAACACTGTATTGGGTGAAACTGGCAGGGGTGGGAGATGACAGTATACTGTTATGATAAATTATGTCACAAGATTTTTAGGCATATTATAGTTGTTTATAGTACTTTAACTGCTAACTGCATGTTTAATTAAAAAGAGGTTTAGAAAAGGCTTCCAAGTGGCGTAGTTTTCCTAGTCTTAATTGTCAAGTGATAGAAAGTCTTGACGATGCCCGAAGTCCACAAGAGCATAGCTGGTTGGCTGGATGTAGTGCTGTGCAGTACAGGAAAAAATACATATCTTTATATAATTAAAATAATTGTAGTCGTTTTTTTGATGCTGCGCAATAAATCTTATTTTTATTGTTAAAGGGCAAATCAGAGTTGCGTCACAGCAGCAAAGAAGAAGGATTTTGTACTAGTTTGAGACTTATTTAACCAAGATATACTTACATAACTGAGATGTTATTGCAGTGTTTAATAGAAGGATTCACTTTATCACGTACAAAAACAAGAACTGACACAAACATGAACCAACTGAAATCACGGTTCTAGTGCCAGTTAATTTCCCACCTGCTCAAGAGAGAGCCGGAGCTGTTCATAATAACTGCGATTAATGATCGATAAAATGGTCTTTGTGGTCCTTTTATGTCATTCTAAAGAATCTACTTTGGCTAGTTAGCTTATCTTGTTGGCTAAGAAACGTTAGCTACAGTAGTCTACACACAAACTTACACGAATGTCTACATTTACACAGAATCATGTGTCAAATCAAAAAAGCTTCATTTTTTCTCAGTCAAGTGTAAAAATAAAAACAAGAACAGTTGTTCTATGGCTGCTGGCATAAATGCTAATAGTGTTAGCTTCTTATATCTTATGTTGCCTCAAACCAGAATGTAAACTTACAAACCTTACAAATAATTAAAAAAACATTCAAGACATCAACACATCGTTCTAGTTTACATTCTTATTGGTTGTGTTACAGTGCTTGGCCACTTTATCTTTGTCTGGAGGGGTGAAAGATTTGCTAAATTGTCATTAGCTTCAGCTGCACATGCTAACAAAGACAGAGGATCTCTCTGAGGGATTAATACAGCTGGAAAATAGGAAGTAAACCCCATTAAATACTTGGGTACATTTGACATTACAGCCACAAACACAACAAGATTTTACAGTTGCCAATGTTTTGTCTGTTATATTTGAATTTATCGTAAATGGTGCCATAAACTGAGCTGCTTCCATGCTGGCTGGATGCAAGATATCCACCCAGAAATATAGCCAATCATTATGTTTAGAAACATTCTGATTTGGTCTATTAAAAGACGACTTTCCAAAATAAACATATAGTTAAGAGCAGCGATGACAGAATGGATCATTTTTCCTCACACGTGGTACGTAATTAGACTGGCAAGAAGGAATTATCAGAAGCGCAAGTAGCGTGTGCGCTAGGCTTGAATCCTGCTCTTCTTTACAGAGAGTACAATTTTAAATATTTCAATGCACAGTTGCTGTTTATTTTCCTGAATTTAATAAACTGGGAAAAAATCAAATATAAAATGTAGCCTATGCAAAAGTTATGGCAATTTTTATCTTTATCTATGTTTTTTTCCCATTTTTTTCGTGTTAAAAACTGAAATTGTCCAGTAAAAAAAATTTGTTTAGAAAAACAGCACGTACTTTGACTAAAGGTGTTCAGCTTTTGCATGCGACTGTATATTTTACAAGCAAAATACTTTATTTTCCAGATAAATGGTTTTAAATTAATACTTGGGTGCCTAAAACCACCTTGACACCTGACTGCTAATCTAAAATAATCAGTCAGTCAATTTTGTGATAAAGCCCAGATTTCCAAGTCCTGTCTCTGATTTTAGACCAGTTGTTTTTCACCCTACAAACAGGAGGCACTTACATTGTGTCCAGTGCTGTTCATGGGCAGAGCTCACTTACTGTGGTACTGCATGTGTGTTTAACCAACCTTTCTGCTTTTGTTAACCAGGTCCCTGTATACATTGACCTGCTTCAGTCAGCAGCTTCACTTACTGCGTGTTTTCTCTCACACTTTGAGATGTCGTACTTGTTTCCTAGACACTTTACATTGAAAGCCTTTTCAATATACAGTTTAGGATTTTCAGTTCACGAAACTGCATTAATCTGTGTCTAGAAAACTGGTGTACTGACTTTTGTTTTGAAGGCTTCTGCAATTAATATTTGCCTTTTGTTTCTGTAGCTGTTGTTTTTTTCACTGGCGATTTGTAAAGGAATGTGCACTAACAGGGTTTTGTGTTGGCTTGTGCAGAAGAGCTTAGCATCGCTGAATGAGAGAAGCACTGAACAAAAATTCAGTGATGCTGTATAATGTTCTTAACACTTTTATCTTTTGTGTCTGTTTTTCTATACATTTGCATCAGTCTGCTGATGTTTATGCTATATACGGTCATGTGAAAAAAGATACCCCATGAAATCCTTTGTGTGTTTTAATTTCAACATATAGATGTTTGATCTTCATTTTAACAATATTGAGAGATGAAGGTAACATAACTAAAGTAATAAAACTGAAGAAATATTTTGGAAAATTAATTGGTAAAATGTAATTAATAGAAATGCAGTTAGAACACCCCCACATTTATTACAAATATGTTTACAATTAGAATCAGGTGCACCACATCAGCTGCCAGTGATTAGAACATCATTAGAAAGGAGTTTGAAGGAGGCCGTCTTATTTAAACCTCATATATTTAGTTTGGTGTGCTCTTGATTGTTGAAGTGAGTGAAGTGAGATCCAGCTCTCTAAGGCCTTCAGACGGAAGGGATTTCAAAAGATCTCAAAACAATTAGAAATCACTGTCCACAAAATAATTAACAAGTAAGGAACTGCCAACATGGCCAGATCAGGTCGTCCCAGCAATTTCAGCCCAAAAGCAGACTGTAAGATGCATAAACAAGTCTTCAACAATCCTAAAATGTCATCACAGGACCTGCAGGTGGCTTTTGTCAAAGTAGATGCATCTACCATTAGAAAGACACCGCACAAGTTTGATTTTCATGGGAGGTGTGCGGGGACAAAAGCCTTGTTATCTAAAAAAAAATCAGAGCAAGACTGAAGTTTGCCAAAGAACACTTAGACAAAGACCAGGACTTCTGGAACAATGTGCTTTGGACAGACAAATCCAAAGTTGAATTATTTGGGCACAGTAACAGAAGACATGTTTGGTGCAAACCACACACAGCATTTGAGCACAAGAACCTCATTCTAATTGTGAAGCATGGAGGTAAACTTCATGATTTGGGGCTGCTTTGCTGCAGCAGGGCCTGGCAAGCCCTCCATTCTTTATTGCATCAGAGGGTGCTTGGGGTAAATGTGAGACCATCTGTCCAAAAACTGAAGCTAAAGCAGGTGGACTTTACGACATGACAATGACCCAAAACATTCCAATAAATCCACCAAAGAATGGGTTAAAAAGCAAGAAATTGAGAGTTTTGGAATGACCAAGTCAAAGCCCAGGTCTTAATCCTGTTTGAGATGTTGTGGGGTGACGTGAAACAGGCTGCGGATGCAAGAAACCCCTCAAACATCTCATAGCTGAAAGAATTCTGCATTGACGACTGGGAAAAACGTTCTCCTCATAGACTGGTAGACAGTTATAGAAAACGTCTGATTTAGGTCATTTCAGCCAAAGGAGGAAATACCAGATATTAGGGCATAGGGTGTCCTAACTTTTTCCTTAGTAGGAATTGGCAGCTTTTTTCATTTGTTTGTTAAATAAATGAAAAAAAAGTCCAATTTTCATTGTGTTTGTAAAGGTGATGCAATTTATCACCTTTGTCTTTAAATATCATTTGAAAGAAGATCAAATATTGATATGACATTTCCTAATAAAGAACTAAACATTTAATGGGGTGTCTTAATTTTTTTCCCACAACTCTATGTTTAAATGGTGTCTGTAACGGTGGTGTGTCCAGGTTCAGGCTGAGTTGGAACAGACTGTGGAGATGCTGCAGGCAGAGCAGGCTCTGAAGCAACAGCTTTCTGAGCAAGCAGAGCAGGTATTACGCCTGTAATTATCTTAGTAATTACACATTACATTTAATACTACAATATGTCTAAAATACTTTCAAATCCGTTTAAAAAGCACATTTCTTACAAACTTCTGAAAGTTTGTTCACACGCTTGTTTGTTTTTATAACACTTGTTTTTTAATCTGTCCAGTATTGAGAAATGTCTGTTTTTTTGGGATAGTTTTTATCTGAAATACAGTACAGTGCAAAGGTCAGAGACCACCTTCGTTTATTTTATTTCCAGTCAGAACGTCCATTAAGAAGGACTTATTCATTTTTCAGCATCAGGAGAAAAGTGAAAAATGCACCTCAAAAACTGAATTCAGTTTTTTGTGTTATTGGTTTGTTATTTTCCTTTATTACAACCACTGTTCTTTTCAGTAGACTTGCTTTCAGTTTTTCAAGGAAAGCTGCAGGGATATTTTTCCACACCTCCAAAGTTCAGTCTTAGAAGTTGGTTGGTTGCATTTTCTGTTTCTCACCATCCAAATAATTCCAGCTAGAATTTAGGCTCCTCAGTCTATTTTTCAGATCTGAAGCAGGAGAGCTTGATTTTCCTTATGAAATCTCAGTGAAAGCTGAAAGTACTGTTTGTTTGATGCTGACAGTTTGGTGGTCTACCAGGTCTTGCACAGCTGTTGGGAGTCCCGTTTTCTACAGCATTTAATTATTTATTTTAACTCTAGTTTTAGAAGCTCCTGTTTTTCACTTATTTTTTCTTTGACTTTCTTCTTCCTTGTGCAAGTGGATTATCTTATGTCTAATCTCCTCAGAAATATCTCCTGAAACAATTTGCACTTTATGGCTGTTTTGACTGGAGATCATATAAATGATGGGTGGTTTCTGATGGATGTTTGCACAGTACTGTATATTCAGTTATCAGTTTATATGTGATATATATCCAAACGCATAGGAATAAGGGGTTTCTGCCTTAATCTGTTTCTTCAACTTGTCATCTTTTCTTCATTTCAGGCTCACAGGGCAGTTGCTGAACTTCAGATCCAACTCGATCTGCTGAGGGCAGCTGGGGAAAACCCCTCAGACACAGAAGATGTGACTGAGCTTAAGGTACTTTGTGTACACACAAGCCTATAATCAGGGGTTAAATTTGTATTTTGAGGGTGTTAGAACTCATCTAAAGTTAGCTGATGTAGCTACTGTAGCTAGCTCAGCACAGCAGTGGGGCATGCAATGTAAATTGGTATTTTTTTTAATAAGTGGTAGAACTTCTTTTAAGCTTGCTAAAGTTAGCCGTTATAACTGCTATTAGCTTACTGGCTGACAGATTATGTCCAGTAAGATGATAACATTAAATGTTTTAGTAATGTATCAGAAAATAATGTATATCGTGCCAGCTCTAATCTAAACTGCACCACACTGGTCATTTTTTCTTTAAACTTTTGCCAAAGGAGCGTCTGGAAAAGGAGAGGAAGTTGACCAAAGACTTGGGCCAAGCAGCAACCAAACTCCAGCAGCTGCTGAGGAGCAGTCAGGACCAGCTCGCCAAAGAGAAGGAAACTGTCAGGATCCTTCAGGAGAAACTGCAAGAAAAGGTATTTGCATGGAAAATGTTTAGTGTTAAAGAGGAATCCCAACATTATTTTTAGATTTGAAAAGGGGTTTTAGATTAAATGGCTAAGATGCAAAGAAAGTCATTCAGAGTGGTTTGGTGTGAAATACTCCAATCTAGAGAATCTTACCAAGTTCTAATTGTTCATATGTAGATACGTGCAGGCTGTTGTAAGGCAAAACTCCCCAAATAAAAGTAATTTTTTCAGATTACGATGGCTGTTTGCAGAAAAGATTGGTGACCCATGAAATACAAATTTTTATCTCGTTAGTTCATGTCCCTGGTATATTAAAGTGGAATTCCACCAATTTTACAGCATTTCTACAAGTCACTCAGAGTTGTTTGATGTAAAATGATACAAAATTCTGGAGAAACTTATTGCTTTAGAATTATTAACAATGGTGATAATAGGAACGAGACATCTGAAGAGTTTCAAGGGTAATTCCACCAATTTTTGCAGAGTGCAGAGTGCTGTCAGGCAAAACAGTCCTGAAGAAAACCTATTATTCTAGTCTTATCACTACTTTTACCATTATCAACATTACATATACAAACTCAGGACGTGTGTAAATAAAAAATGCGCTATTTATAGACCTCTGGTTCTTAACACTACCATAAGGAAAGAAATCCAAGTTGGAATGTTTCTCCACAGTGCAACATTTCACATCAGACCATTCTGAATGACTCTATTAAAGGGGAATCCCACTGATTTATTTAAACTTTTCCCTAATTCAGTGGTTGAGATGTCAACAAAGTTATCAGTTAACGTTAGAGTGAATTTTGACAGCATTTTTTATGATTGTGTTCTGCTGTTAGGAGGAAGGCACAGAACTGAAGGAAGGCACTTCGGTCTGAGTTGGAGGACACTACATTTAGCCAAAACTGCCTTAAAATGACCAAAATATTGCATTCCTGAGTATTTCCTTGTACTGTAGGTAGGCCACAACAATTGCACCCATCTAAGAAATCTGATATCTTTAACTTTGTTTAGGATTTATGCTGGAACGTTTTTTACTCTTGTCAAAAAATGAACATTCCATTGAGAAACTTCTGGCTATGTCAGAAACAATTACTTTAACTGCCTTATATTTCGTAATATCTTGTTCTGCCCTCTTGTTCAGTGTTAAAAGGGAAATTGTCTGTACATTAAATGTACATCAACTAGTGCAATTACTTTTGTTTCATGGTACAGACAGAACACCTGGAGTGCCCCCTGCTGTCTGTAGCTGGCCAGACCCCACTGTATAAATTTGATAATGAATAAATTAAAATGGCTTATTGCTTTAATTATGTTTCATAACCTTTTGTGTGGATTTAATTACACCAAAACAGGAGTGTTGAAATTACGAAACAGGAGTGTTGAAAACTATTGAGCATTTATATATTATACACAAAAGTACTGCAACAAGTTCAGTGTTTTTCAGGGTTTCAGGATAGTTGGCTCAGATATTACTGATTACATACACAGGTAATGTCAGCTGTTTCCTCTGATTAGTATTTGGAATATTTTGTCTGTTGCTGAGTAACTACGCTGCATATTACACATCTTTCTGAACAGCAGTATCAATAATTTTGATGTCAGATATAAATGACTATTTTTGTATGATATTATCTTTTGTTGCAGATCAATGACAGACCATCTATCAGGTATTAATACAACAAAGACTTTTTTTATTATTCGTCCAAATGTGACCATATTTCACTGACATGAACATTGTCAGTCAGTTTACTTCATTGGTTCAGGATCAGAATCTTCTTTCACCGTTGTACAAAATATTTGAAGAATCAGTGCAGATTGTGACTTTATTTGGTCATTTTAATATGAAGTTTTTAAGCGACTCTAATGGAGCACGAGTGAAAAATTTTAACCTTCCAAAAATATTGATTTCTAAATCCTCAGCATCAGTTTCTTAGCCAGTACAATATTTTACAACACGCACAATCTTGGATGCAAAGTAGTTGAAATTTTCACTTAGAAAACCAAAACATAATTTGACCAGGGGGTGCCCAAACATTTGCTTATGACTGTTTATAGTATATAATCTGTATCTATAATTTGTTCTGTCGAATGTATGTAGTGGTCTTCCTTGAATTTCGCCAGCCGTTTACAGACATAACTGTTGAGAATGTAGCATGGTGAGCCCACATTGCTAATGTTAGCACTTAATATGATCATTAATATGATCTGTTTTACTACTAATGACTAGGTTCACTTAGCAACTGTGCTAAAACTTAAACTTTGAGGCTCTCAAGGATATCATACATAAAGAAAAAAAAAAGAATTTTAATTATTAATTTAATAAAAATTTAATTTAATAAAAATGAAAAAATAAAATTTTGGCCAGGTTCCTTACTTGTGACCACTGTATGCCTAATAGGCTTTAGCTGACTGACGATAGTATCAGGGAAGGCTGATAGATTTTATCTATTGTGTTTGGCAAAACGGTTGAATGGTGTAAATGTCAGAAAACTCACCGTCTACAACTTTAAAATGGAGAAATGTGTCTTGAAATGCTGTAATTTATTCCATGTTCATGGCAGTCTAAATATTTTGTAGAGAATTATAGCATTCTATACTATAGCATATACAGATATCCATTAAGAAGATGCCCCTCCCCCGGATGCTTATGGGGTGTGATCAAATGACTGATGATAGCGTCTTTCATAAAATTAAACTAGTGTCCAGCACAATTTTGATTTTCCTCATCAAACACACCTGATTTCCTCATCCTTTATTTGCAGAGTTTATTGGGAATGTTTGAGTTAGGGCAGTTGTGCTAAACACTGGCCCTTTAAGACTGAAGATGACCTAAGGTCACTATGCCCAGTGCAAAGCGTCAACTAGAGGGGTATAAAGCCCCCCAGCCTTGGGCTGTGGAGCAGTGGAACTGCGTTTTCTGGAAGGGTGACATTCTCCATCTGTTTCCTTAGGGAAGAGTTGGAGTAGCCTGACCTTACTAATGGTTTTGTGACTGAATGCGATCAAATCCTCACAGTAATGTTCCAATATCTGGTGTAAAGCCTTCCTGGAAGAGTAAAGGCTGTTACTGCAGAAGTTGAGACAAACTATTCATAGATACCTTTGATTTCAGGAGAGACATTGAATAAGCAGGTGTCTTCAGTATACACTAAATGGCCAAACGTATGTGGACACCCAGCATCACACCTACACCAAAAGAGCATTTGTGAGGTCAGGACACTTGGCCTTATTCATAGTGGTCTTAGGCTTGTGTGCAGCTGCTCGACCATGGAAACCCTGTTCATGAAGCTGCCGACACAGGTTTTTAAGCTGATGTTGCTTCCAGGGGCAGTTTGGAACTGTGTAGTGAGTGATGTGACAGAAGATTTTAGGCACTAACACGCCTCAGCACCAACAGCCATGTGCGTTTGCATGGTCTACCGCTGTTGGTGCTCCTAGATGCTTCCATTTCACAATAATAGCACTTACTGTTGACAAGGGCAGATCTAGCAGAACTGACTTATGCCATCCTATGACAGTGCCACGTTTAAAGTCACTGATCTCTCAGTACAACCTGTTCTACTGCCAATGTTTGTCTATGTAGACTGCATGGCTGTGTGCTTGATTTTAAACACCTGTTAACAATGGGTGTTGCTGAAACACCTGAACTTAATATTTAGGAGGCATGTGCACATACGTTTGGCCATATAGTGTATATATGTAGTGTATACATTGTATTGGTTATGAACATTGTTTATGAATGATGACAATATAGTAGTGTTGCATGTTCCTTTATGAGAACACAACCATCAACAAATCACTGTGGTGAGAAAACTCCAAAAAACTGTATTTAAAATAAAAACAAACAAAATTTTTCTGACACAACTTTAAAAAGTCACTGCAGATTTCAATTTATGTACGACAAAAAGGGGAAATCCTGAGGTACTTGGAAGTTTTTTTTCCCAACAGAATCAAAATGGAAAGTCAGGTTAAGGTGGTGCAATGAAAATACAATTGAGACTCCTGAGTAACTTTATATTTCCTATGTGGAAAAATATAACCATCAACCAATTATGTCAGATATGGAGGAGTACCCTATGGTATACATGCACATGTTAAACTGTTACTGTAATCAAAAGACCACAATCTTTTGATTACAGATGGTTTCACATGTGCATGTATACAATCGAGTACTCAAATCAGAAAAGCCATTATATCAGCAAAATAACTGCCTCTGTAAAGACAGTCCAATTGGCGATTCATTGGGATTTGGTGTTATTGGTCGTTCTCCAGCTTTAGAGACATATTCCCTCTATAGACTTCAGTTTGCTTTTTCCACCCAGCTTCTCCATCAGAGCTGATATTTCTTTGTCGGCCGGGTCGTTCACTTGCCATTCAAGCTTCAGACCTGCAAAAGTTCAGAGAATTGAGTCAAAGATTCATCAGAAAAGCTAAAGGTCATGACTATGAAAAGGAAACACCATAACCGACCTGGGAACTTGGCCCTTAGAGCGCCCTTTGAGCTCGCATAGACCATTTTACTTTTCAGGGATGCATCATCCGGGGCCCTGTGCAAATACAAATAAATAAATAAATCGAGAAAAAACATACATTGTTAACAGACTAATTGTTAATAGCCATGTATCACACCTCTGCTACGAACTACAAGTCTTGACAATCATCTTGTGATGATCATCACAGAGATACAATAAAAAGGAATCTCCAGCATGGCTGACAAACAACTGCCAAAAACTTCCTTTAAAAAAATGAACTTGCAATTCAAACAAGTATGGGCAAAACTGGCATAGCAAAATATATATATATATATATATATATATATTTATTTATATATATATATATATATATATATATATATATATATATATCTTGGCATCTGAAATCCAGGTCACATATAAAATATTGTAAGATTATTTAACTTAACATGGTCATCTAGTTAAGTCTGGTTATACTGTCTAATTCCATGGGCAGATAATGTTGTTAGATTTAAGCATAATTTCTTGAAATAAGCAACATTTTTTGCCTTGTGTCTTGAAACTAGCAAAATCATATGACAATACAGCAGGACAGTTTCACCAAATAAAATGACTTAAGTAAAAGGCATTTGAAAAAATATTATAAAACCTTATAACAGTGCTACAACCATCTCAAAATGAGAAATACATGATATATTGATTAGATTTAGGATGATTACACTTGCTCATTATGCAAATTTAGACCAAACTTGGACCAAAAGAGAACAATCTGAGAGATTCCAAGGAACTAACCATAGACAGAGCACTGCACAGTCTTTAACATTTTAATCTAAACTTTCTCAGTCATTCAGAACAACAGTTTTTGAAAGTAATATGCTATCAGGATCAGAATCTGATTACTTTTCCAATGGAATGAAGCTAAAGGAAGCTCTGATGAATACCAGTGAGGATGTACAACTCAATCAAAGTTCATATTCTTATGCAATATAGGTTGTGAATGTTTGTGTACCACATGATGAAGACCAGATCCTCCTTAAGAGTTTCCTTGGTCTCGTAGGTGCAGTCATACAGGGCGTAGCGACACTCCTTTTCAGGTAGCATGCTGACGACCTTTTTGAAGATGTTCTCCTCTTTTTCGACATCCTTGTTCTTCAGCGAGGACTGGTGGTCCACGACGATGCTCTTTTGGTCTTCGCTGAGTTGCATAACCACTAGCTTAAACCTCTCTTTTTCCTCGCTACCTTGAAGGCGCACTCTGATTCCTTCAAAGTGTTTGATCACCTCATCGCTAATCGCTATACCAGAGGCCTGGAGGTGAAAGAGAGAAGATGATTTGCATCTTTTCAAAAAGTGGTTCCTAACGCTTTCATACTTGCTCCGCCTTACATTGACTTTCCAGTTTGTTTCTGTGTGAAGAAAATGCAGTTTTTAAGAGTTCCCTCTTGGGTCTTTGGAGAAATGCCTTAGAACAACCACTTGTAGTTCCCTAAAAAACCTGAATGCATGGTTCTTTCTGAAGGTGTTTCGGTAAGTGAAGTGTGCAAGTGTGAAGAACCTTTTTAAAGTTCAAAGAATTCATGTATAATGTAGAGGTTCTACACCAACAGAGGGTTTTCCATAAAGCCACAGACCCAAGAACCATATAGGAACCTTTATTTTTAACAAAGTACCTGTGAGTGCTTTTCTTTTCACACACAAAGTGAAATCTGGCACTTCTGAGTAGAGCTCTCCTTGTAGCTACTGTGTAAAAGGCCTAAAATTCCTACCAGATTGTACACCTCGTATATAAGTGATGTCACAAGTAGGGCAAGCCTAATTACATAACAAAGCCATATATTAGTGATGTGCCTTAAATCATTTTGTGCAAAATGTAGTTCTTCACAAAAGACACACCCTTTAAGAGCAAGTTATGTTAGATGTTAAGTGAATCAAAGCTCTGTTCCATGGTCCTTTTGGAGTATGTTGCCTTGAGGCAACGTTGTGTGGCGGTGGAAGAACATACATATGTACGTGTCGTATGAAAGTAGGATTTTATATATTTAAATATTTGGAACCAATTTGAGTAGCTACACAACTTGCTAAGTTTTAAATATACAATATATAAGTACAAACATGCTTTAAAAAAATCACTTTCACTCTCTTTTCATCGCTACAATGTCACCATGCGCCATGATGCATTTGTTGCATTCTAAACTTTCATTTACGACCACAATTAACATTTAAAACTATGAACAAGCTAAAACAAAAAGAATCAAGTAATTTTTTTAATATTCAGAAAGTTATATGTCCTAAAAAATGCTCTATAAAGAATAATTCTAAATGAAAAATAAATGATAACTGCAGCGTTCTAATAAGTGGCACTTCTTTTGCTACTGACTGTATCAAGCTGCACAGTGTTGCTTCTAGGCAACATCCATATTTCAGCAGTTTCTCATACACTAAAAATAATTTGTCATTTCAACAGATGCCAATCATATTTTCTATGGATGGAAAAAATTAGGAAAATTTGCTTTTCTTAGGGCAATTGTCCTAGCTAAATGTCAGGAACAGGTTTAAAAATACCCACTAGGAGACTGTATGACCCAATTAAAGCATTATTTTAGTTTGTTCATCTCTTCCCTTCATTATTAATACTTTAATTATCATTAAAGATGTATCATGTCATTGTAAAGAGAGGAAGATAGGTTTGTTGCCCTGAGGCAGCATCATGCAACAGAGGGTTTATAGGCAGACTCAGTCAGCACCTGAATTGGAAAACTTGAAAAGCACTCAGCTTGTGTTTCAGATCAACAAAACTACATGTTATTACAGATAACACTTATGAAAAGATTATTTTTCCAAGCCTTAAGATAGACTTGAGTGGCCAAGAGCCAGGACATTCAAACACTGTACTCAAACAGAAATGAAAAAAAAACCTAAAAAAGGTCTCCCTCAAACCCTGATTGGGAAAAAATAGGCCTACAAGATTCGCATTGTGAGATCATGGCCTGTTGTGAGTTGACTTTTTTCAAAAAATGCACAAGAAATGAGTGTATATGTGATAAAACACTCATCAGTTTCACTCACAATTCCACATTCCTTTCAACTGAAAACAAGTCGACACTGGTAGGCACACCTTGACGCGCTCAGGTAAGTTCACTTCCTGTTTTAGGAACCTTTCAAAAGGGCATTTTATACCTTAATATTCCATATTGTAAATAGTGTTTGTCGGGAAAACTGGGCAAATTGATAAATTTAGATTACTATTGCTGGCTAAGTTGTTTTTCAGTCACATTTGAGTTGGACTGGACAATTGTGCACCAACAGAACTACAGTTAAAAAAAAAACATCATAAGAGCCACAACGAAATAACTCTTCACCATAAATCTGTTTCAAAAGGCCAGTTACTTACCATGTTTCACGCTTCTTCTGTTGGAGGGAAGGGACAAAGAGTTGCTGTCTTGGGTGGAAAAGAGGGGACAGAGAGAAGATAAGTTGACGCAACTGCTGAAGAGTTGAACACACCTCCTTTCGGCTCTGTCTCGAAGCGTTTCTGCCCTGACGAACACTGCGCGAGCATAAATCTATGATTCTGCAGCTGTGGGATGCATTCAATCTCTCAAATGAACACTTGCAATTGTAGCTAATCTTGAAGCCTGGCTTATTATATATACAGTTTGAGATAAGATAAGGGTTTTATCATAATAAAACTTAGTTTACAGGTAATTATAACTCAGGTGACTATGAGCCAATAAGAGAGAGAGACAGAAAACACCTCCCATATATGGAAAACCAAATCAAGGCAGGGTTTTTTAAGAGAAACTCATCCTTATTTGGCAAGAGGGGCACAAATAAAGGTGTCAAGTAGGGAAGTAGGAGTATGAAAATGTCCACAACAGTTATGTGACTAATGCTGAGACGTTTGAAGGACAACAAAGATATGTTATACTACCCTCAGTGGCCCTGATTAAATCATTGTAATATACTGTTGATTAAAAATCATAGTTTTGGGTATATCACGCTACAGATCACAGTTCAATAAGCAGCCAACATTCTCTTTTCTTGGCCTTCTTCTGGCTGCTAAGCTGTTTCATCCACTACTTACTTCAAATGTGAATATATTTTTATGCTAAGCTGCATATAAGACACGTCCTCACGTTTAAAGAGAGGAATGTTCAGCGGAGCATGCTGGGGCAGGTTAACCTCGGCTGGAAGAATGCGGGCTTGTGCATTCTTAGTGACGTGTCCTGAGGTAAAGTTGGGTGGGGAGACCTATGTTTCTTAACAAGAAAGGTAAGGTAACCAGCAATGATCTGTCCTTTATGTTGAAGGCCTTGACCTTCAAATTGACCCTCACAGTAGCTGGTCATTCAAGCACTATTATAACAATAAGGTATATAAATTATAAAAATATAGTACTCGAAAAACTGTTACTGTAAAAGTTGAAAGCAAATGAGAGAAAAAAATGCGTGAAATGGAATTGAACATAACGAGAGATGCACTTCTTGTCAAAAGTATGTCGTCAAACGTAGTGGCTGATATTTATAGTACTGTGTAAAGTCAAGCAGCCAAGAAAATAGTTTGGAATTGTGTGTATCAGCAGTAAGTGTGTTTTGCCAGTAAAAGTTCTGTAGCATATCAGAACATTAACAGTAAAACATAGTAAATATGTTTTAAAAAGTTATTAAGGTGTTGGTTAGAAGAATACAGTCAGAACACAGGTATGGTTCCTGACTTCTTGGTGAACTCCAGCCATTTTATGGATTTGTTACAGGCCATCAGCAGCACGACTGGTTTCGTTTAATGTAGTACGCAAACTTAGTATCGAATGGTGACTCTAAATACTGTTCCTTGAGGAACAGTAATGCAGCAATGAGTTTAACCAAGCAGTTAAGTAGTTAAGTCAAAATTATTAGTCCCAAGGAGATATTTTACATTTTCCTAATTTTCGAATTCCACAAAATTCAGTCCAATGTTAACATCATTCATAAAACTTTAAAGAGTAAAACATTCTTCAGTGCCCCCATTTGGTACATTTTGGATTTTTACAAAAAATCGTAAAGATTGCTGTAAAATTAATGTATTGAAAATTTCTTCTTTAAGAAAATGTAGCAAATTGACATTTTTAACATTCAAACCACACCTGAACCCCATCTGACTTGACTGGTGCAATCAATTAGCACTGAACTCTACTAAATGGAGCTCAGTGAACAAGGCTAGTGGCATTAGATGCACTAGATTGAGAGTCACCACTCTTACATTCTTTGTAACAAGTAATTTCATCATGCCATAAAGCAAAGAAATAAGTCTGGACCTTAGAAACAAGGTAGTGGATGCACATCTTAAGGGGGGGACGGCTATACTGCCATTTCCTAGCACTTCACGGTGTCCAGACCAGTTATATGTTGCATCCTCGCAAAGTACAAGGAGATACATTGTGTTAGAAACAAACCTTTGTATGGAAGACTGTTGTTAGGGCTCTTCATCGTGGTGGGGTTCAAGGTCATTGCCCAAGGAAAACTTGATTGCTCACATGGTGGCACATTGAAGCAAAACTGAAGTTTGCTTATGACCATTTGAAACTAGTTTTGGAAGTCTGGTCTTATGAGACTAAACTGGAGCTGGTTGGGCACATGGATGTTGCTTTTGTTTGGTGAAAGAAGGGAGAGGCCTTCAACCCTAAAGACACATCCCAGTTCTTCGAAGAATGAAGATTTTATTGACATTTTGAAGGATAATTTAAAGAAAACTCCTTCCAGTCTAGCTTTAGGTTGCTGTTGGGTTTTCCAGCAAGACAGTGACTCAATGACCCAAGTTGGTCTAAAACATTTTGGTGGACACCAAAATCAAGGTCCTGGAGTGACCCTCTCAAAGCCTAGATCTCAGTCCTATTGAGAATCTATGGTGGGAGCTCAAGGTTAAGGTCAATGCTCAAAAACCGAATCACATGGAACAATTTGTCATGCAGGAATGGACTAAGATGTCTCAAGACACATGTGCTAACTTAGTCAGGAACTACAGTAAAAGGTTGCTGTCATTTGTGAGTCAGAAAGTTTACACTATTGACTATTAATTGTCAGAGGGCTGAAAAATTGGGTCATTTTTGCCTTTTTTCTTGTTTTACCTCAGATCATCAGTAAAATATCTTCATCAAACTATGTGTTGTGTGTGTGTGGGGGGGGGGCATGCCTGAAACCCCTCCATCTTCCAGTCTAACACCCTATAAATTCACATCCTAACCTTCCATTCCTGTGACAAGGTGTTCATAATCCCCACCGCCACCCCATCGTCAGTTATCCTCATGCAAACTGTACACCTGAGTCAACCTGCCTGAAACTGTTTTGAGTTGTTGAGTAATGTTGACTATACTTGCTTATGCGATTTCAGACTGTGACACTGATCTGCACAGCTTAAATAGCTCTTAATGGTAGCAGCCACTTTGATGCAACCTTGTTGTGCAGTAGCACAATGACTTCTGCATGTGCTACTGTTCAAAAGCTATTTTTTAAAATATAACACCAATTTTATTGCTTTGGAATGTATAAAAGGTCTTTACACTATTTCTGTTTATAATGAATTAGCAGTTTGGAAGCATAAATAAACAAATAAACAATAAATAAACCAATAAGAAATGTTAGTTGTGTCCAGAGTGATGAATTGAGCTGTGTATGATTGTAAAATGACCGAAAAAGCTATGTAGGGTTGCTGTTAGGACAAACCCTCATATCTCCATTTTTCATTTTTTGACATAAAGCTAGTTGCCTTTCATATTGTGTCAAAATTTTATGATGAACTGACCAATGAAATTACCTGCTTGGAGATACAAGGTTTTGTTTTGACAGCAATATATCAAGTTGTATACATGTAAAATGTATTTACTATTAAGTCTGAATACATTTATTATCCAGAATGACCCATATTACAAAATAAAAAATAAAAAATGTAAATAATTTATTATTTAAAAACTTGTTATATTTTTCCTAACACCTAAAACAACAAATATTGTTAAAAAAGACAGATGATTCTACACCATTAAACAGTGCTGGGCCCTTTGTTAAAATGCCCTGTAGAGACATTATGCCACAGCAAGAACAGTGATGTTAGTATACAACTAAAATAAGCTTGTGTGAGAATCATGTTTGTTTATACAGATGTTAACCTGTACTGGAGTCAGATCTCGGATGTGGTCAGCAGAGGGCGGTGTCACTCAGATGGTGAAGGATAAGAGTGCTGGCGTAAGATTCATGGGCTGCAACACTCACGGTCAGGTCGTCTTAGATGTAATAATGGGTTGCCAGTTCTTACTTATTTCACTATGCATCTACCAAGACAACAATAATTATTTCAACTGGAGTTTGAGCAGTAAATTCCATACAGCGTATGTTATATTTAAGTCAGATTGAACCAGAACGCAGTTTCCTGCTGTATGTGTTTCTGAGTTAACTGTAGGTCTCTAGCTGAGTGTTTTCTCTTGTTTGATAGGTGATTGTGGTGGTGGGGGGTGATATTAATACATGGAGAATTCCACTGTTTTTGCAAAATTTCCACATAACTCTATGGTTGAGATGTAACCAGAGACACTCAGAGATGTAAAATGGTTCATTGCAGAGAAACCTACCAACTCTTTATAGTGGTGGTGATAGAAACCAGGAGTTTTAATGTCTACACTGCAAATATAGCCATTTTACTTACCATCCAAACCCACCAGGGAACCTACATGTCTTTTGAATTTTTGTATGTAATATATCAGTAATTGTAAAATAGTACATTTACATATGTATAAAATATATTTTTATACATACATGTAGTCATAAAAAATGTATATATGTAGTAAAAAATACTTTTTTCCCAAAAGCCTGTCCCAAAAACGCTATAAAACAATGTCTCAGACATCAGTCAATGTATTGTAACCGATCAGTATAATAACTTCTGTGAGGGAACTTTTAGGAGCATTAAACTCTTCAGAGTCTTCTGGTCTCTTTCTCCAGCACTGTGACACTACAAGTTTCTCTAAAAGGAACATTTAACATCAAACCACTCTGAATCACTTTGTGTACATCTCAATTATTTAATTATGCAGACATTTTGAGAAATCGGTGGAATTCCCCTTGCACCCAGCTGTGCAGCTTGGGTTTTTAAACACCTCAGTGTCACTGCTGGACTGAGAATAGTCCAGCAAGCAATAATATCCAGCCAACAGTGTCCTGTGGGCAGCATCCTGTGACCACTGATGAAGGACTAGAAGATGACCAACTCAAACTGTGCAGCAACAGATGAGCTACTGTCTCTGACTTGGACCAACGTGGTACACACTAACATGCCACCACCATGTCAGTGTCACTGCAGTGCTGAGAATGACCGACCTCCCAAATAATACCTGCTCTGTGGGGGTCCTGACCACTAAAGAACAGGTTAAAAGGGGCTAACAAAGTATGCAGAGAAACAGATGGACTACAGTCTGTAATTGTTGACCTACAAAGTGCTTCTGTATGGTACGTGGAGCTGGTCAAAAGGACAGTGAGTGTAGAAACAAGGAGTTAATGAAGTG